TATTATCTCAAATATAAGCCGCACCCTATTTTTCAATAACGATTTCTGGTTAAAATACTGTGGCCTATACATGAGTAAATATGGTAATTAGCCTACACATGGCACCATTATTACTGGAGGATTGACTGGTTGCTGAATACAGAGATTACATAAGCTCCAATTTACACAGATCTCAATTTGGTTTTTTCCCCATGAAATGCCAATTATATATTATAATTTTATTCTTCAAATACCTGTTCATTTCCTACACATGCACACCCACACATAACGTATAATCCCAGTGCTGGATTTGGATATAAGCCTCACAATTGGCACTTTAAATATATTTTAAATCTACTTTTCCCCCAATATATTTTAACTCCCCACCCCACCTGAAGAAATCTTTTAAGTTGTAACACACAGCCTTTTAGAGGATTATATAATTTATGTGGTTTTGCAAACATATTCTTTATTATATTTGTAATAATAATTAAACAACAAAATATAATTCCATTATCAAAAAAATTTATAAGGTGAACATATATATTGTAAAGCAGCTTGAGATTAGCTGGTGTAATTTAAAATAGGGGCCTCAAAGTTTTTAATAACTTAGGACCTCATTAAGCCTAAATCTGTTCCTGTGTATAATGTGTGTGTGTTTTCTTTATAACTGAATGCTTATCTCACTACATTTACATGTTTTTCAAGTTGAATATATTCTGTCCGTGTTTTAATTCATTGCTGTATTCTTGCTTTTTAAATTTAAGACATTTCTTTTATTGACTATAGTTGTCATCATCTCTGTAAAAAGATTTTCTGTTTACACATTACTAATAGGTTTTCCTTTTATGTTTTGATTATCTAGTGCCAGCATTATTTCCTTTACGCTCCTGATTAGCAGGAATTTGTTGAGGTATCTTAGTTCATTTGTTTTATTTATTCTCATGATCTCTGTTTACTATGCATTTTTAATCCTACTTGTTAATTAATTCAACCAGCTTTCATTTGAAATGTTGACTTTTAGTTATTTTATAATGATTTAAAAAGTCTGCATTTTCTACATCCACAGTATAGCATACACAGTTGGAAAACAGAAGCACAGATGTTAAATAATTGTACTTTTATTGAAATAAGTTTCACTCATTTTTCCCAACAAGCGGAAACAATAATTTCACAGACTTCTAATCTAAATATTATACAAACCAGACTGTATTTATAAGCCAGCAAGCAAAAATAAAATATGCAGATCAGTGTAGATGAAAACAATACCACAGAAGAATATATGGCACTGAGAAACGGTGTTTGTATGATTACAAAATATAGCTAATATTTGAGTTTTCATATCCAAGAATACCCACAACAATAAAAATGATGTTGAAACTCAAGGTTTTCACTCTAGATGTTTTCCACTATTAGTCCATTTTTTGATAACCACATTTCTGCACTGATAACTATTATGGGTCATGGATGAGGAGCATTGTCTGGATCTTTTCTCTGAAGAATGCCGGCATGGTGGGAAATGAACAGGTGGACAGATTGGCTGGCTCTGCACAACTTGGAGGAATACTGATGCATGATAAGGCAGATGTGGTCAAGGTCTTATGGCAGCAGGTGTACAATTTAGAGGAACATATGGATCATCACAGTCTTGTGACAGTGATACAGCGAGGAGTGACGAGGGGATCTGGCTGATACTCGACGCTCAGAGGAAAGGCAAGACTGTCTATAATCAGACTGCTACTGGTACCACTGGTAATAGAACTCTGTGCTGGCTGCTGAGAAAAGATGCTATATGCTAGCCAATCTTCCTTGATGTTCAGACCTTTCAGGACGTCAGTTCTTTTTTTCTTTGTTCATGGTATTCTTAGAATATTTCTTTAGCATTTCAGCTCAAAAGTCCCTATTTTCTCCCTCAAGAAGTGCAGGATAGTCCATGACTCAAATCCATGTTTATATGAGCTAAAAACATTACATCCATTGTGTCTCTGTGGCGAAGTGGTTAAACTGTCTGCCCTCTGCACTGAAGAGCTCCTGGTTTGGTTTTGAACCTTTCTCTGCTTTGCAAATGAAAGTGTTTTAAAGATCCCTGGGGTTCAATCCTGCAGCCATGGATTTTCATGCTTTGTGCGATGCTTTTAGCAGATGTCCCAACGACTCCAGGGAGGGAAACCAAGCTCTACAGGATACAATACACAGCAATGTCATCAATCCTCTAGGCTTAATTACCTAGTCTGTCTTGTAGGAGTAGATATGTAATGAAACATACTGTTTTTGGGAAATATCAAACAAAAACCTGTTCAGGACAACCAAGCTAAACCAGTGAGTTATGCTAACATTTAAGCAAACAAGAAATAGGTGCCAGAAGCGCTGGTTAGTTAAGTGCTCAAATGTGCAACAAAATGGCAGCACTTTATCCTCTCTAAAACACATAATGCTTCACAACATCAATCAAAAGAGTATGCAAAACAGGCGTGATATCAACAACAAAACAAAACAAAAAAAGAGGATAACACTGGTAAAAAATTATTTTTCCTATCAGCAGAATTATTGTGAGCTCCCCATACTCTCTGTTATGAGGTTTAAAATTCCATCACACTTTCAGATGCTTTTATTTTCCACTTCTGTCCTAGGTTTCCTTGAACATCATTAGTAAGGCAACTGTACTTTCCTCAAGAGTGCTAAGTTCTTATTTTTACAAAATGAAACAAAAAACGTATGGAAACTTGCTAACAAATAATTTGTGTCATTTTTGGGGGTCTCAGCACATATGAAACAAATAGCCCTTCTAATGTACTATGCGTAGTGTTAATTTAAAAAGTCATTTATAAATTTCTAATTATTTCTTAAAGTATAATTTTGTTTGTAGGCTGACTTTTGACAATCAACTATCCTCCTCACACTAAGTCAGCAGAAGTGATAAAGGTTAAAAGTTACATAATAATTAATGATGACAACGGGTACCATTAGTATGAAAACTCATTGCTGGCTGTTGAGGAAGGAGATGGAGTTATACGGGCTTGTCCTGAACACTGGGATGTTGGAATCTTTAACCAGATCCACCCAGATTTTTAAATGAGAAAACCCACCCCCAGGGCAGTATGTTTGTAAGAGGACTGACAATACCACCATAACCTGCCATAAAACAGCTAAGAAACAGCTTAAATAATCTAGGCTTAAATTGCGAACAGTAAATTTTAAAAAAAAACAACCTTACACACACACACACACACATATATATTTATATATACATACATATACATAATGAACATTCAGCTAGTTCAGCCAACAACAGATTATTTACTGTAGTCTGTTTTCAAATGTTTACATACATTGCTGACACTGTACTAAAGTCACCCAAATGTTAGTCTGATGATTTTAACCAAAGAACATTGTCCTCGATATTTTTTGGGGTCATTTTACAATATGCCAAAGGCACACATGTGAATTGCTACTCCAAATAGGTCAAAATGAATTATTCTTTTCAAACAACTCCACAATTTTCATTTGCCACAACGTGATTTTTTTTTTTTAAGAGATCTTAAAAGTTCAAACCTGATTTTTCTCAAAACAATGTAACATTAACAGTTTGTTTTGAAAACAGTGGAAAATAAATGCAAATAGGTCAAAATGAATTATTCTTTTCAAGCAACTCCACAATTTTCATTTGCCACAACGTGATTTTTTTTTAAAGAGATCTTAAAAGTTCAAACCTGATTTTTCTCAAAACAATGTAAAATTAATAGTTTGTTTTGAAAACAGTGAAAAATAAATGCAGCTTGAAATAAAAGAAAAGTAAAGGAAATGATCACTGCAGAAATAAATGCAACTACTTAAGCTCATGCTGTAGGAGAAAAAGTGAACAGGATAGAGAATATTAGTTGAAAAGGTCAAAGGGAACACTTATCTCACAGGCAGAATGACAAAAGGGTCAAAGGTAACACTTATCTCACAGGCAGAATGATGAAAACAAGATTCTGACCAGTAACTTTCATACTCCTAAGTTCTTGCTTTTCTTTTTTTTTAAACCAGTTGTGTTGAACGATGAAAAAGGCCTTGACATGTCTGCATTTCTATACAAAAAAAGTAATTAAATGATATATCTCCATCAATGCTGTGAATAAAAAAAATACAGGAATTTACAGGAGCAAGGACAAAATAATCAGAAAAACGCCCAAAAGAGCGGCAAAGTTTCACTCTAAAGTGCCAACTGATAGCGTAAGAAAACAGTAACAGCATGACACCTAATAATATGTTAAAACAAATTTGTAAATGGTATCTTGATTACGTATAACAAAAAAATTTAATAATTCAACTTTAAGCAGGAGATAAAGAATACAGGGTTATGAACTTGTGGATAAGTTACAGGTGCCTCTTAAAAAGTAACTGCTTCTGGCCCATGATTCTTTTAAACCTCCTAATACTTTTGAAATGAAAAATAACAGAAATAATTCAGTCATACTGCTCCCAGTTGTTGTTTTTTTAACTGTTTAAAAAAAAAAAATAGTTCAAAGCACACAGAAACAACAATAAATACCACACTGCAGTGCCTGATGACAAGTTATTCCATGCAATAACAAATAGAAATCGCAAACTGAATTCCTAATACTAATCAACCACTCAGGGAAAAAGAGTTCTACCACAACCAAATCGTTATAATGTAATGTAGCGATCACAACATTACTTGTAAAGTAACAGAGGTACCAAAATTCTAAAAGGATATAAAACTTATAATGTGAAAATAAAAGTGTACTAATTACAACATGATCATATGTTATGTATACTTTTGTATGTGTGCTTGACTTGCTTTGTTGAAAGAATTATTCAAATATTTTCTGATTAAACATTAAAAAAAAAATTTTTCAGTAAATTCCGTTGGTGTCCATTTTGTTATTTTCTTCAAGACTTTTGGTGCGATTACTTATTTAGAAAAAATATCATGAAAGGCATTTACATGGTTCAACTGAAATGCAACACAGAACAGATATCACATGTATAACATTGCTTCCAGATTTCTCGCATCATTATGGTGTTGACACTTTCCCATAAGCATGCCGGAACTGCTTTCCATGCTCGGCTCCTCTACAGTGATGCTTTCTAAATTTTGCATTGTGCTGATCATCATGGTGTCTCTTTCGATCAGCAGCCCTCTCAAAAACCCAATCAGATTTGTGTTCATCCTCCCTGATTTTCTGCCTTTCTTCTGCTTGCTTCATAAACCAATCATCTTCATTCTCTGCTCCTCTATTATGTTTATCTTTCTTCTTACGATCATCCATCCATTTACGGTGGAAAGCATCCCTTCTGCGGGCTGCCCGTTCGAAGACCCAAGAAGACTTTCCTGCTTCATCTCGTTGATGTTCTCTATCTTTTGATTTTTCAAAAAACCAATCTCCAAACTTTTCATTATCATCAGCTTCTTTAACACCATTCCAGTGGTTCTGCCTCTCTTTGTTCTTATCTGCAGCTTGCTCAAACACTGATCTTGCCTTTTCTTTCTCTTTCCTCAGGTGTAGCTGAAGTTTAGCTTGTTCTTGCAACCAGTCAGAAGCATCATGGGATGTTTCATTTACTTCTGCTTCATCACTTTTAGGAGTGTAACTTTTAGGTTCACCACCATCTTTGTAGTTTTTTCCTTCCTCATTTTTCTCTTTAATATTTTCTCCGAAATCATCATCATCTTCAACACTAGCATACTCATCATTTTCATGTAAAGGACTACTAGATTGGCTTTGCTGGCTCTGAACATTATCAGCCTCATCAGAAACAATGTTGCCTTTGTTATCATCCATACAACCGACCTGTTCCTCTATGTCTTCTGCAAAAATGTTAAAATTTGGGCCAAAAGTCATTCCATGATGCTCTTCATAAAAGTTGTCTGAAAGATTAATTTTATAACATCTGTTGTCTTCCAAACCATCCACACTGCCTTGGTAGGAAGCAGCAACTGCTGCGGTCCACCAACTCAACTGACAATCCACCCACTGCTTGTCAGTTGTCAATAGAAGCTTGCTTTTCCACCAATGATCCTGAAATGATTTAAACTTCCTATAATAATTCTTCAAATCAGCAACCTTTAGCTTCAAAACATGATCTCGCTTGACATTTGGAATTTTCAAAAGATGAGAAAACGAATCTGAGATTTTCTTCAAGTCTTGTTGGCACTGCTTCTTCCCTACATTACACTCATAACTGAACTTGCCAAGTATTTGACATGGGTCATTCATAACAAGTGCCTGCCAGTGTTTTCTCAGCTTGTAGACATATTTGCTATCTATGTCAATATTAGTGATCTCAGAAGTTTTGAACCACCGTGAGGACATCTTTTTACACATTTTGGCAAATTTCGACGAGGCTTTCTTTATTGTGGATGCAAGTCCATTTCCCATTTTAAAAAATGCTGGCTTTTTCTCATGCCACATGGCCTTAATTTTGCCCCAGGTACCTGTAACTTTTCTACCAAGCTTTCTGACAGTCTTGCCAGTTTTTTTTAACATCTTGCCAATTCTTCTAGACCAAAATCCATGCTTGATAGGGTCATCCTCGTCCTTATGATGAGGTCCCCCAAATGGAGTTTCTAGCTGTGGACCTGTAAAGGAAGAATCACTCTGGCTTTTCTTTTCAGGAATTTCTGGAGTTACATTCTCTCCCTTGTTATTCACTTCTGCTGAATGAGCTTCAGGCATGATATCATCCTTATGACATATGTCATTTAATACTTTAGACAAGTACTCCAGAAGATGCTCTCTATTTGGTGCAGTATTTTCAGCCTTCCCACCATCAGCATCATAATTTTGATATTCTTGAATAATTTGTTCAGTGTCTTCCAGCACATTATTTAATGAAGCTGTCAAAGATTCAGTGAAGACTACATTCAGGATATCCTCAACACCATGCTTGACTTGATCCAACATTCTGCCAAGGTAATCCACTAGAACATCATGATCTGGCATATCCACTTTTTTAATGTGATCCAGCAATTTTCCTAGATATTCAACAACATCCTCCTTTCTTGGGACTGGCTTTGTAAAACTATGTTCTTCTGTTGCTGGATCCTTGCTGTGCAAACTATCTATAACTTGTTCAGCACTGCTCCAGACCCTCTGAACTGAGTCCAAAACTGCTTGCTGCAGATCTGAGATTCCTGATAACAACATGGACAGATTGGCAAAATCATCAAACACTGACACATTCCATCTGATAACATGCTGTGTCAGAGTTGTCAGGTTGGCTGACATGAGCTTCTTCAGACACTCGACCTGATCCATCTGTGCCCTTTCTCGTTCTGCCATTTCCCGTTCCCTTTCATCTTCCAACTCTTCGTTATCTCTTTCCCTCTCTTTTTGGCGTCGTTCAGACAAATACAACTTTTGCCAGTGCAGAGCTCTCTCCTGCTCCCGTGTCAAGGACTGCTGTAACTGCTTGATATCAAGAGGAACTGGTGAAGCTTGAAATGTCTCTGAAATATACAAAGGAAGTTGTTTTTAAAGCAGAAAGAATTATTTAAATATCAAGACAAATATCAAGACTGTGATTTATTTATCATTACCAATCAGTAGGTTCTTTACAGAATGTCACTTTCTTAAAGACACATCTGAAATTATCTCTTTCTCTAGCCAATTCTACAGCCCTATGTGCTTTCATATCCAATGTCTTCAATGTCTTGTGTCTACTTTCATAATTTGCCTTGTGATTGTATATACAGATGGCTCTGTGGTGAGGGGCAGACGAAGTGCATGGGGGTTCATAGCGAAGGCGAATGGACGTCGCTTAGCGCAACAAAGCCTGGCATAAGATATCACAACGTCTAGTTTGAGAATGAAGGTGGAGGCAGTCACTGTTTTAAGAAAATGCACATTCCATCACCGTTCTCTCCAGGCGACCATGTCATTTAACATAGCCAATATACCTCAGCTTTCAGGAGAGGATGCTCTTTGTGAGCCAGTTCTCCTCAATTGTTCAAACTGTGTTTTATAAAAATGTTAAATATAATTATAATTCCAGCAGCAAGAAAAAAATTCCAAATCTGCAATGATATACTTTATACAGTGACAACCAAGTGGGAATTTTTTTAACACTTTTACCAAGATCTTAGACACGGCTGTGTACAATCTGATATATTTAACCAGCACAGTAAAATAATAATGATATTTATAAAAGATATGTCAGGATAACATCAGATGGAAGATGCATAACTGAAATTAGAAACAGAATTGGACAGGCAAAAACTGCATTTTATAAAATGAAAAACATCTTGTGCAATATATCCTTGTCATTGAGAGTTAGAAAAAGAATTCTTGCTTGCTACTTACATCCAGTTTTAACATATGGATGTGAATCTTGGACAATCGGCAGGCAGGCCAAACAATTTTTAGAGGCCTCAGAGATGTGGTTTTACAGAAGAATGCTTAGAATACCTTGGACAGCCAAAAAGAGCAACCAAGAGGTTTTAAAAGAGGCGGGAGCCCGAAGACAACTTATCACTGACATCAGAAGGAGACAGTCATCATTTTTCGGCCATGTTATGAGAAGAGGGAAAATAGAACATGTTGTGACAACTGGAAAGATATGTGGAAGGAGGGATAGAGGAAGACAACGAGAGAAGATGCTTGACAGTCTTGTTGCATGGCATGGAGGTGTGTCGGCACACGAACTGATACATGCTGCAGGAGATCGCGGATTATGGAGAGGCATGATCGCCCACGCCAGTCGGCAAGGCACCTGATGATGATGATGTCAGGAATATCAGTTGTAAGTGTTGTGTGCTAAATGTGCTATTAGAATGCATGCTTGGCAGAGGTTAGAGGTGTGAAAGTGTACATTAATTTTCAAGTATGAGTGACTGAAGTGAGTAAAAATATTTCTGCTACTGGAAGTGCGTGAAAAGGGTGTTGTTTCAAATCTGCGAACTCTACGGGTATAGCCAGACCCACCCGTAAATGACCGCAGGCAGAAGATTCCAGAGGTATCAGATTTATTAGCTCTCAGTCATTGAAACAGTTGTTTTAGCAAGTTGTGGACACTAGGAACTGTTCAGTTGCTGAGACTGTTTGGACTTTGTGCTGGTACATTTTTCTGATATCCTCATATGTTGTTAGGATGTTTCCATGATAGGCATTTTAGGAACTGCTTCGTAAGATTGGTTTTGTAGAATTTGTCAGCCACAGTGTGGTCACTACATTGAGCGTATATCAGAGGAGGGTTCCACGAGTGTTCCACCCACATGATGTACAACTACTGGGAGGAGCAGTGTCGAGGGTTCACAGTTTCAAGAACTGCCTGAGCTCACAGCAAGAACATTTTAGGTTGTGTAACTACTGAGTGAGTGATCCATTTGTTGAATGAGAGTGACTGAGGGTCTGCTTGTTCATCTTGCATCACCATATTATCATCACAATATGTGAGTCCATTAACAATCAGACTGACTACACTAGTAAAACATATTATCATCACAATATGTGAGTCCATTAACAATCAGACTGACTACACTAGTAAAACATATTATCATCACAATATGTGAGTCCATTAACAATCAGACTGACTACACTAGTAAAACATATTATCATCACAATATGTGAGTCCATTAACAATCAGACTGACTACACTAGTAAAACATATTATCATCACAATATGTGAGTCCATTAACAATCAGACTGACTACACTAGTAAAACATATTATCATCACAATATGTGAGTCCATTAACAATCAGACTGACTACACTAGTAAAACATATTATCATCACAATATGTGAGTCCATTAACAATCATACTGACTACACTAGTAAAACCTATTATCATCACAATATGTGAGTCCATTAACAATCAGACTGACTACACTAGTAAAACATATTATCATCACAATATGTGAGTCCATTAACAATCAGACTGACTACACTAGTAAAACCTATTATCATCACAATATGTGAGTCCATTAACAATCATACTGACTACACTAGTAAAACCTATTATCATCACAATATGTGAGTCCATTAACAATCATACTGACTACACTAGTAAAACATATTATCATCACAATATGTGAGTCCATTAACAATCATACTGACTACACTAGTAAAACATATTATCATCACAATATGTGAGTCCATTAACAATCAGACTGACTACACTAGTAAAACATATTATCATCACAATATGTGAGTCCATTAACAATCATACTGACTACACTAGTAAAACCTATTATCATCACAATATGTGAGTCCATTAACAATCATACTGACTACACTAGTAAAACCTATTATCATCACAATATGTGAGTCCATTAACAATCATACTGACTACACTAGTAAAACATATTATCATCACAATATGTGAGTCCATTAACAATCATACTGACTACACTAGTAAAACATATTATCATCACAATATGTGAGTCCATTAACAATCAGACTGACTACACTAGTAAAACATATTATCATCACAATATGTGAGTCCATTAACAATCAGACTGACTACACTAGTAAAACATATTATCATCACAATATGTGAGTCCATTAACAATCAGACTGACTACACTAGTAAAACCTATTATCATCACAATATGTGAGTCCATTAACAATCAGACTGACTACACTAGTAAAACCTATTTTTTTGAGTGATTTAATTCCTTCATACTAGGCAGCTGATGATGTTCTCAGTAGACTGACTGGTGCTACAAGTAGAAAGGAAGATGCTTCAAGAAATCCAAAATTCCAGACACTTGGTTGTTAGTGAAATTATTATACACTGCAATGTTATATTGCCAGGTTTTTCCCCAATGGTCAGGCATTATATAAACAACCTGCAATCTGCTGCTGATACAGTTGCCACAGCTGAACATGAAATGATAGGTATTAACTGTAACAGAAAGTCAAGACACAGCTGTTCAATGTCCCATAGCAAAGATTTTAGGAAGATCAAAAAAGGGGTTTTGTCAGACATTTATTTTATTTTTAACATCCACCATTTACTAACCTTTAGCTGCTCTCTGATCTGAACGTTCAACTGATTTTGAATCTTCATGGCTAGACTGATCACTCTCTCTGTTTTCATGTGAAGCACTTGACACTTTTAATGAATCCTCTTCATCACTGCTTCTTTCTAGATGCACAAAGATATATTCAGAATCACTCTGCCCATGTGGCATTTCATGTTCCTTCTGACAGCTGGAACTCTCTTTTTCTTGTGACTGCAGACTGTCATCATCAAGCTGACTAGAAGCAGCCAGATCAGGGACCTCTGCAGTCATTTCCTGAGAAGGTGCTCCAAAATGTCCAGTGTTCTGGTTGTCTGTATTCAATGCAACACCACGATCAATGCTTGTTGGTTCATCTGGAGGCAGGTAATGTTTTATAAGAGCTGTATAGTTTCTGATGTATGGAAGAAGCTTTAAATGGCACTCCAATGCCACCAACTGATTTGATTCTGTCTGGCACTGGATATAATCCTTCATACCATCCAGGATAGTGTGTATGGCTTTTCCAAAGGTTCCTCCTTCCAGAGAACTCTGTGCAATTGAGAAAGACACAAAGATGTCATCAACAAATATATTTTAAAGTGAATAGTTTGCAGCCCTTCTCTTGCATATCCTGATGAATCCTGCCCAGCATAATAATACCTCCATTGTTTTCAGGACATATAGATCCAAATCCATCATGCCTGCACAGTATGCAGTTCTAGCCAGTTGCAAAGCTGTTTTATAGGCATAGTGCCTACTACCCAAAGACTTCATGTCAGCAAAACCCTGTAAATGTTAGAAAAACAGCTTTCTCAGAGCAAGAGGGTTAACCCTCCTACAATGCAAGATCAACAGAACAAAACTCTGGAACCCATAACTACCCAGATATTTTGCAATTTACATCAGTTTGAAGAAATTCCAAAAAAAAAAAATTAAAATAATTCTGAGAACCTTGATTCCAAGAATCAGTAATAAAACTCTAAACAAAGTTACTAACAGTATAAAATAAGGATGGCAGGGGGTGTGTGCACGCTGGTGTATGAAAGAGGGAGTGAGAAGGCTAGACATGAACACATAAGTTGTCTGTTCAAATCAGCCCTGAGTCAGAAATTTTCAAAAAAGATCTGGACTTCCAGGTTGACCTAGTCCACAATAAGTAACAGGTAAAGGTTCTGGGAATTAAGGCAACTGGTGTGATCATGCTCACATCACCATCCAAGAGCCAGTTAGTCTGTAAAAAGATAAGTCTACCAGCTGATGCAGATGGTAAGCAATGATCCGGTGATAACAATGAATTATAGTCATCACTCTCGCTTTCCACGTCTGAACTATGATCTAATGTACCTTCTAGCATGCCAACAACACTTTCATCATCACTGCCATCAACAGAATAATAAAGTGTTTTTGCTGTCACATCAACAATGTGAAAAGAACATTTTTTATCTATTTTATGCTGCCTCATTTAGCGGCGTCTGTGGCTAAGGCGTTGCGAGTCCGACTCGTAAGCCAGCATACCGCGATCGAAACCCACTGCAGGCTGCGTGGATTTTTATTGTGGTATGGGACGTCGCAGGTCGACCCAGCCTAAAATGGGTACCAGGATGGGCTGTCCTGGGAAAGTAAAGACAGCCGGCGTAATGCTGACCACATTACCCACAGAGTGCTGATGGTCTGTAAAAATATGGGACGCTCTGCCCATATGCCAGATGCGCCGAAAGGCGTGAAAAGGGATCTTTACTTTTACATTTTGAAATGCTACAAAACAGAGCCTTTCATTACAGAAAATATCAATAGCAATGGCCAAGATGTTATTTTTAGCAACTAAAATCCTTTGTATGCCATATGTGTATTGGAAAACATGTCAAAAACCCAGTTAGAGTGCTTCTCAGAAACTGGACAATGCAAAAATGCCAGTTAAACGGCATTTATGGGGAACAGGGCACTACCGGCAATGCTAGATTTGTGGTTTCTGTTGGTGAAGAGGTTAAAGGCAAACTCTGCAGCAGGAGTTATGAAGTAATTCAGTAAACATTCACAAGGTAAAAATATTATGAATCTGAGTAACTGATTCTCCACTGGAAACTTTTAGTATTCATTTTATAAGATTAGTTTAACCCTGCTGCCCCAGGAAGTCGTGAACCCACTATTTCAGTTGTCTCCACATTTCCATAAAGACCACAAAACTAGCTTGTCTCCAGTGACCCATTTCCAAGTAGTGTAGTTTAATGTGACTGGTTCCATTCACACGTGCATAGAACTTAAGAGGTCCAGATACAAATGAATTTCTCAAAACTTACAAGGGGCAGTCCGCCTGGATATATTTAACTCTTTGATTCCCAGTGGGTTTAGCATCACAGGCCCAAGGGTAGTAAAGAGAGACACAAAATTGGTGCATTGTGCATTAATTAGGCTTCTAGGTAGGAACCTATGAATGTATGATGCGTTCCTAGGGACTCAAAAAGTTAACTCTTTAAGTCCCAAGGAACACATCATATGTTCCTAATGAATGCATAATGCGCCAGTTTTATGTCTCTCTTTACCACCGTTGGGCCTGTTATGCTAAACCCCCTGCGACTGGAAGAGTTAATGCCGCAAGGCCAGTGAAGTCACCACAAACTGTGTAGATTGAGATTTTTGTTTTGTTCCATGAAAGAAAAAAAAAAAAACCAATCTGTGTATAAAGCATGATAATTCTCTCTTTCACTTACAGTATTACAGCATTGGCGTCTATATTTCAGGTGTCACACGTATCACTAAACTATTTTTAAACGGAATAAGATGTAATTCAATGAGTGATGTAAACAAGGCCCCAGTTAATTTTACTACGCAAGACACATTTCTAATACTCATTTAGGCTGGCTTTGGAGGTGGTCAATTTTAAAAATTCATCTGATGTGGAAGGCTCAAGACATTCATTTAGTCCAGGAGGCAGGAGTCTAGCTACTGCACTGCTCCCCTTTGTTAAACCAAACAACATTTAAATTATCTTCCACCGCAAAAAAAAATATACTTAATTGTCCAACAGTCCATCATCCACTACTGCTGCTGTTTTCAACCTGTGCGTCGCCACCCTTTCACATGGGTTGTCAAAGACCATCGCAAAACACATATTCACTGAAAGGTTCTTTCATAATTTCCTATCCCAGATGATATCACAGGACAGTCCAACATTTAAGAGGGTAGTAAGCTGGGTTTCCTGGCTTTCTGATGCTTTAAATGACCCCGAAACATCTAGAACCGGCCCTAACCCCCACCCACCTACGAGAGTGTAGCTTAGGTCCCACAACTGCATGCAGCCTATCTACTACCCTTGATATATTAGACTGTCCCGTGACCTGTGGATTTCCCCTGTTTGGGGTAGGATATTGAGAAAGCACCCACTGAAGTTGAGAAGTAGCAACGAAAATGATTGTTTGGTTGGGGGTCACCACAACATGAAGAACCGTATTAAAAGGTCGCAGCATCAGGAAGGTTGAGAACCAAATGCACTACTCAGTTAAGAGTATGGCAAGATACAGTGAGCCGCAGATTTTATTTAGAATACTTTTCAAATGTGCTGATGTGACTGCAGATTCAAAAAATGGCGACTGACCTGTCACCAGAGAACTAATGGTGCCTAATGCAATTAACTGCATGTGCAACTGCTGATATGTTGTAACTGCTGCTTCCACCAATGACGAATTGCAATTCTAGTGGTGGACTGTGTGTGTTCGTACTTTTGACAGCTGCCTTATGCATCTGATGTCAGTGTATGCTACTGACTTTGCTATGACTGCGGTCTGTTTCAATATGCTCACAATGGACACTGATGGCATCCGTTTGTCGCTGGCACAGAAATGGAGTAATTATGGGGTGACCCATTTGCCACGAAGCTGAAAGTGCATTTAGACTGACCAACATAGCAGCAAAACATAAGCTAATGAAAATAATAAAAAAAAATTTTCAACATTTCAAAATGTATGTAGACAACATGTGTCAACTTACGTAAGCTGATAATGTCTCCACAGCTCGCTCATAGTTTTTCGCTCTTCTCTGAAAGTTTATTGCAAATATTTTTACTTGTGTGTTAATTTTGTAGGGCAACATGAAATAGGCAGGATTTTATGATTACTCCCACTGTAGAATCATCCAGTCATGTAAACTAACAGATATACTGTAATGCATATAACGAGTGTCAGAGGCTGGTGTGAGTATGGGACAGCCGGTATGATAGTAGTGAATGTTTCATGTCTGCACTTACAGGACACAAGAGTCCGCCGAGATGAACTGACGACGTTAGGGAGTCGTGATTGACTGAGTGGTTCGCTTACGAAGCTACATGTACTGCAAAAACAGACTAAACCGCAGGACTGAAACCAAACAAGCAGACAGCTCAAGAGTGGGGAGTTTGGTTTCCAGGATGTGAGACGGTAGAGACTTGTGATAGTTTGAAAGTGAGATTGCAATGTGTTGTGTCTAGACCATAGTGACAGATAGTCTGTGCTACAATGTGTTTCGCTGGACAGTAGCAGTACTTCTGTGTTATACCGCGCTCGACATGATTTTTTTCTAGGGGAAAAGTGCTGGTGTCTAATACAGTAGGGCTGAACCCCCGTGTGGGTTCCGGGGCCCTATTGTGGGGAAAAGAAGAATAGACCCACTGCCTCCCCAAAAGCACGTCGTAAGAGTCGACTAACTGGGGAGCTCCCTTTGAAGTCGGAGTGCATCTGCCTGAGAGGCAAGGAACCAGCAGTCTACATTCAATTGAATCAGATCTGTAAAACTGATGCACACGCAACACTCAGGTTCTGGAGCAGGACTGCAGTCCAGAAGTGGACGAACAACCAGAACTTTACGCCAGAGTGTACAGCTGGTGAACGCGAAGAAGAAGAAGAAGAGTAGGGCTGAAAAAAATTATGCCTAAAAATATGAAAAAGGCTGCAGTACTCCTGTATACTACCAAAAAAAGCCCAGTGTTTTTTTACCTTGTAATAATCACTGTCTAACAACAAAAATGATAGTGTTCAATATACAAAAATAGCTACACAATTTTTAAAGTGAAAAAAAAAAAAACATAGCAAATAAGTCAATCTATATATTCATAATAATAGCATATAAATGTTATACCTCGAAATTCCAGACACTGTTTTTTAAGTCAGCAACTTGAACCTCCAACTCTCTGACCCTGCTCAGCTGAAGGTCATGAGCCTTGGTTTTGCCCTTCAGTAAGATTTCTAACTGATTGACCTTTTTATTTTGGAATTCATAGGCATTTTGCCACTCCTCAATTTCCATATCTGTTGCTGAAATTAAACAAATTGTCAGTCTAATTAGATTTCAAGTCCTGTTAGCCAATAACATTAATGAACATAATACACTCAGACATGTTAAATCCCTTTAGGCAGCAATTTTCACCCTGTGGGTCGCGACCCTTTTTTTTTTTTGGTCGAACGACCCTTTCACAGGGGCCGAATGACCCTTTTACAGGGGTAGAATGAGCTTTCATAAGGGTCGCCTAAGAGCATCGAAAAACACATAACCATTAAAGTAACAACAAAAATAACTATGGTTGGGGGGTCACCACAACATGACAAACTGTATTACATGGTGGCAGCATTAGGATGGTTGAGAGCTACTGCCTTAAGGTGACAGCAAATAGGAAATATATATAGTGTATGTGTGTATGTATACACACACATATATACATTCATTCATATATGTAGGTATGAATATGTGTGTGTGTATATATATATATATGTGTGTGTGTGTGTGTGTGTGTGTGTGTGTGTGTGTGTGTGTGTGTGTGTGTGTGTGTGTGCGTGTGTGTGTGTGTGTGTGTGTGTGTGTGTGTGTGTGTGTGTGTGTGTGTGTGTGTGTGTGTGTGTGTGTGTGTGTGTGTGTGTGTGTGTGTGTGTGTGTGTGTGTGTGTGTGTGTGTGTGTGTGTGTGTGTGTGTGTGTGAGAGAGAGAGAGAGAGAGAGAGAGAGAGAGAGAGAGAGAGAGAGAGAGAGAGAGAGAGAGAGAGAGAGAGAGAGAGAGAGAGAGAGAGAGAGAGAGAGAGAGAGAGAGAGAGAGAGAGAGAGAATACACATACATATATATACATACATAAGCAGGGCTTTTTTTTCTGGTGGCACATAATGATACACACTACCTGCATCTTTTTTATGCATAGTTTTTCAACTGCTACAGAAACTGTATGGTGCATACCGCTTCCTTTGTTTAGAGAATTTCTGGCAATCACTGGCATATTTCTTCTTAACAGAAAAGCCTTGCATATAAAAAAAGGGATTCTCAGATAAATGATATTTCAGTTCTAATAAATCAAACAAAATAAGAGTAAAAAAAAAAAGTAAAATTTTAAGTGGCATTACTTCACAATTATCCTATTTTTTCTTCTTGAAGTATGTTCCATTGCTAATTTCTCAAGTAGCAATCTACTGAGATAATTTAATGGAGTCCTGAGTAATTCTACACCTTTCCATAAACTTTCAACTTCCTTACTTCTGCTTAATATTGTACAAAAAAAAAAAAAAAACTCTTATCTTTTTATTGTCACAATTAAAATAAAATAAAAATATTTAAAAAAATCAGTAAACAATTACCAAACACACATCTTTAACTTAAGATTATAATTAATCTTAAAATGCAACCCCTTAGACCAGAGGTTCTCAACCTGTGGATCACAAACCTTTTGTGGGTCGAACGATCTTTTTACAAGGGTTGTCTAAGACCATGGGAAAACACATATTCACTGAAATTAGGAAGTACCAATGAAAATAACTGTATGATTGGAGGTTGCCACAAAATGAGGAACTGTATTAAAAGGTCACCACATTAGGAAGGTTGAGAGCCACTGAATGAGACTAATGTATCTGATTGAGAATACAACATAAGAGCAAGAAACCTTGATTAATGCTAAACAGAAATGCAAAACTCATCTTCTATGTTCACCTTATAAGTGTGCACGTTGTGGTTTACAGCAAGGCTGTATCTACATCTGATTTCAGCCAACCTCTAATAGGTTTTATGAAATTCTTGTTAGAAAGGTTCTGGGTCTATTTAACCTCCCCCAATGGGACTTTAGATAAGGGGGAAAATGCAAAATGAAATTTTAAATAACAAAACAATTAAATTACTTACCCATAATGATACCCAAGCTGATCCCCATGGTAAGTATGGCAACCAGCACCACAATAATGTTCAGCACTGTACTGAGGTGGTTGTTGGGCCGATGAATGTAGTTCCGAGGCACATCTCCAGCTACCAAAGGCAGGTCCCCAATATCAGCGAAAACAGAGAGATCGCCAACATCATTCTGGGCAGACAGAGACCCCGCCTCGCTCTGCTCACTCTCGATACGATCATCAATGCCTTCCTCGGTAGACGACTCTGTGTCCTCATCTCTGTCCTGCTCAATGTTATCAACTGGGAGCTCATTTGTTGGAGCATGACCACCCCTCTCTGAGGAGGGAAACATCAGGATTTGCTATCACACAAACAGATCATATTTTTCCTTTGTGAGTTCTGGGTCTCCATTTTTTAGAACAATGAACAGACCCGCTGCAACCTCCCAATCAAGCTTGTAGGAGGCATCTAATAAGGGAGCTCCTTCAAAGTGCACCTGCCTGACAGGCAATCAACCAACAGTCTGCAACCAAATAAACCAGATCTGTTCAACAGATCTGCACACAAAACTAAAAGTTCTGGATCAAGACCAAAGTCTAGGAGTGGACGAACAACCAACATTTTCCACCAGATTTTACAGCCAGAAAATGCTAAGAAGAAGATTATATCCCACCCATGTGTAGTATGTTATTATCATATTGTTCTTCTTCGCATACATCTGAAGATGTAACTGTGTTGTGCCTGTTGACAGCATGGCTGTGATATCTGCGTCTTTCGTCTGACTTCTGCAGGCCTCTGTTGACCAGGTTAGCTATACCAGTTATTATCATATTTTTAGTGAAACTTCTTCACAATGGCCCTTAAAACAGCAGTTGGCATGTTGTACTGTGCTTTACAGCTAGGTTGTGCTATCTGTGCCTTTTGGCCCAACACACCAAATCCCCCCCCCCCAAAAAAAAAGAAAACCTAATTAGTCACAGAAGTCTCCCCCCCCCCCCCCCCCCAACTTTCCCAAATGAGGGTAAGGAAATCAAACAGGGATTTTTAATGAAATAAAATGTCAAAGTAATATAATGGCAGATCCTAACAGAGCACTCTGAAATGGCTTGATTTCATATTTAAATAAATCTCAATATTTTTAGGCAAGTGATGGTGAAGACCCCACCACAGAATTGGCAAACATGGGCAGTAATGGCAATTTTTGCTTAGATGGTAAAGTGGTAAGCAGGCCTAATTCTGACCAAGTGGTCGTAAGTTTGAATTCTTATCAAGGTAGATTTTTAAAACTGACCTGGCTTCCAAGTCAACTCTGCCTACAATTGGTAATTGAAAACAATTGGTAATGGAAAATGTCATGGTAAGTAAAAGTAGCCACTATCCACCACTGAGTTCTGATCTGCCTTTACTAAGGCAGGGCTAGCAGCAAATGATCAATATGCTTATTTCTGCAGAAATGGGTTTTTTAAATATGAAGTGAGGTAACTAGTTTGGTTCTTCATCATCTTTATTTTCAGTCAGTATTGATCCCTCGGCTTGTATGCCATCAGAAAGAAAGTGATGCCGGAACACTGAGAGAGGTGACTGTTTGAGTTTGGGAATAATGCCACACACTGTTTTGATTTGCAGAGGCAAAGCCAGTGAGACATGTCAGTTCAAGTTAAACACTTTATATATTAGTGGGTGACAGCTCTATATTTAATGAACTAAAATTGACTTCTTTTTCAGTATTCTAAGCCCCTTGAGGCTTACTGCTGCACATATCATGATGCAAGCATCATGAATAAAAGTCATGTTTTCATGGCATGCTAGTCCCATGTTTTTACAGACTAGTCAGCTCTCAGTGAGTGATATGATCCAAATCTGAGTGGCCGCCTTTACTTTCCTGGTACCTATTTTTAGATTAGGTCAATCTGAGAGCTGGGGTAAATTTTTTATTTCCAATATACTTTTGTGGGATATGAAATTATAACAAGGCTTAATAGAAGACGATCATTAAGATTTTCAAAAATAACCAAAGTTAATGTAAACTAAGATTATTTTAAAGCCTGAAGCAACAATATAATACTAGCTCAACATTAGTTTGACATTTGATTTCGCCTCTTTAAGCAATGTGAGAGAGGCTGTGAATAAAATAAGAATAGAACACAGAATAATAAAGAGATTACAAGAATCACTGGTATAATTTCCATTAAATTTACTGAGAAACAAAGATTAGCATGGTTTGGCCACCTTCTCCTTATATATAATCCATGCTGCCGTGTGTCACTGGTAGTCATGTCGATCCACAACCTTCTATCTTCTGTACTTTCAGTCAGTTCTGACACAGATGATCTTCCATCAATTTACTGAGAAACAAAAATTAGCATGGTTTGGCCACTTTCTTCTTATAATCCATGCTGCCGTGTGGCATTGGTAGTCATGTCGATCCACAACCTTCCATCTTCTGTACTTTCAGTCAGTTCTGACACAGATGATCTTCCATGCCATGATGTCAAACATTCCAACCTTTTTTCTCTACCTCTTTTCCCTTCCAACTTGCCCACCGCCATGATGTACTACAGTTTTCTCCTTCTCATGATATGACCTAATAAGAATGAATCCAACTATACAGTGAGAGCGTAAAGTATGAAAATAGAAACACCAAAAGGGAAAGAGAGACCTAGAAGAATATGGATTGACAGAGTCATTGACAGCCTAAGACTTAACACCGAGCGTGCCCTATACCAATCATCTGTTAAACTGTAATGCCTAGTAGCATACTGACAAAGAGAAGCAATATGTACTCACAAATACTCATGTTTAAAACTGCCTTGAATTTCTTACCATCATCCCTAATGAAATTAAAGCCAGGACCGATGGTGTATTCACTGCGATATAGTCTTAGAGGAATCATGATTCTTTCTTCATTAAACTGATTTTCTCCAACATAAGCATCCATGTTATCAGAATCCAGGCGGACAAAGTCAGAGTCTATAAAAATGTGTTATAAACTTGTTGAAATGAATAGTAAACAAAAGTACAAAAGGAACCAACCCCCCTCTCCCCCACCCCCTAATAAATAAATTAGTTTCATTTAAATTATTTCACGAAACAGGGATGCTCAAAAGTATTTGTCTGAGATAAACAGGAAGATAGGTATTAGTGAACTCTAGTAGTTTCCCCAGTGAGCTTCAGGAGGGGAGATTAGACCTACTGCCCCTCTAACAAGGACAAACAAATAGAACTTTCTGTTGAAGTTTACAGCTGGTGAATGCTAAGAAGAAGAAGAACTCTAGCTGTGAGTACTGATAGTATATACAGACTGTAAAATGATAATATGGACACTCACTTAGAGTCCACAAAACCTGGGGTAATACAAGTAAAATTTGTTTCAGTTAGACAGTAAGATCCACTGGTATTGCCACATGTCTGTTTATGCTCACCTGTGGATTCGAACAGGCACCAGCTAGTCCTGGAAAGTAAAGACAGCCAGCCTGATGTTGACCCCCATCAACCATTGAGGGCCGTTTGGTCTATAAAAATATGAGCCTAGCTTCATATGCCCGATGTGCCAGTGGCTATAAAAGGACCCGTACTCATATTTCTGCATGAAGTTATTATACTAATGAGAGACAGGTCACAGCCTGTAAACTGACTCAGATTTATATCATCACTAATTCATCTTATAATGTTGTGTGCTATCTTGGGTGTGACAACAATCAGCACACGGTCAAGTGTCCAAGGATATAGTTCTCGTTACCACACATACAACTCTTTCTGGTGACACATTTGTCTCAACTTACTACTTACATTTGACTCAATCACAATATCTTATTGTGCCTTTACTCCTTACTGGTGCAAAGGAACTGAAGCCATGCTGTCCTATCTCCTGCAACTCTCCACACATCAAACTATTATTCAACGGTATTAAATTATTTTCTAGGTGCATTTTAAATCTTCCTTCATTTATCAGCCCTGTAGGTTTCAAAGACAGGATTTTCTAGTTATATCTTCTACTTCATTGCATTCACAGCCTGTAAACTCTGGCAAAAAGTTCTGGTTGTTCGTCCACTTCTGGACTCTAGTCTCATTCCAGAAAATGAGTGTTGCTTACACATCTGTTTCAGAGGTCTGACTCATTTGCATGCAGACTGTTGGTTCCTTGCCTCTCAGGTAGATGCACTCCGACTTAGAAGGAAGCTCCAATTAGTAGACTCTTTCGACATGCTTTTGGGTAGACAGTGGGTCTATTCTTGTTTTACCCACAACAGGGCCCCAGAAACCACACAGGGATTCTAGTCATTTAATATCAGCAAGTCTGCGTCTGTGGCCTAATGGTTACAAACACAATTTGTTGATTCCAAAATACCTGGTCTGACTCAAGTATAAGCAATCTGGCAGCAGACCCCTTTGCTTTGATTTTGACAATAGTATGCAGTGCTGACTGTAGAGAAGCAACGGCAGACTACTGCACCTTAAACTGCCTAGTAAAACCAAAAGCAGCCAATAAATACTGGGGTTGGCCTGCAATATCATTTAAAGCACGCACGACTAACTTTTTAATATCAACAAGAAACAAACCACTTGCCAGCATCACTATCAGTTCTGCTGCCAAGACTGCTTTCTGTTGTACCTTCAAGTGAGGAAACCTTTGCAATGGACTCGTCATCAAAACTGAGAGGAAATGAGATGGGAGACTTGTGAATCTCATCCCCAGCATCAGATACCAGACATTCTGACTGAGCGTTCTCACTGCATTCAATATAAAAACAAAATGAATGAATTATTAAATTCAATTAGATAAATATCAGTATAAAATTTTTCTACACTTCCTTTTTTTTTTTCGAATTTTGATGTTGAAGACAATATAATGTTCTGCTTTTTCGTTCTTGTTCTTTTGGCTGCCTCGGCCATAGGCCCACTGTACTGTTGTAGAGTTTCACTAATGTTATCTTTCATTTTGGTTCTTGGTCAACTTAGTACTCTGTACTCTGAAAATAAAATGAATGCATTACTGAATTCAATTAGATTAATATCAGTATAACATTATTCTCCACTGCCTCTTCTTCAGTTTCTGATATTGAAGACAATATAATGTTCTGCTTTTTGTTCTTCTGGCTGCATCCACCATAGACACACTGTACTGTCGTAGAGTTTCACAAATGTTACCTTTCATCTCGTCCTTGGTCTATTTAGTACTCTGCCCCCCCCTCTTTTAGTGTGCATTGTATGGTATGACACTGCGACTATAAGTCAACTATAACATAATAAACAAATATAAAACAAAATGATCTAGTCAGTCCTATAGCAAATCTATTAACTGTTGAGATGTGAAGTACTGGTCTGTCACACACTGCAGGCTACAACATATAAGTTCCTTCTACCATTACAAACTTTCCTAAATAATTTCAAGAAATCTATGAAAATTGTCTGCTGTCCATATTTTTATAAGGCCTGGTTGACCCTCTGAGCTTACTTGGTTGGAAACAGTTATGCTGCCTCTGTCGTGGATTTAAAACATATACTTTCTTGGCAAGAGAGTGCAAAAACCACAAAGGCAACATGGATAAATACTATTAAGTCAACACTCATTCTCAGAACATAGATCAGTAGCAGAGAGATACCATAATGTACAACAGTACTTTGAGAAAGATAATACTGTCTAAGAGGAATTTAATATTAAACAAGAAGTATTAGCAATAATTAATTTAGCTAATGAAAGTTTAGAAAAATGTGAGAATATGTCAATATTCTTATCTATCTGCTCATATCTTTTAGAACATAGATCTTCATTTCATCCAACTTACTAAAGTTCTTCTATCTTTTGCCATCAGTTGTAGCACCCTCTATGTCCTAACCATATTATTTATCACTCACTAAATTATATATTCAAGTATTCTCCTCTACAGCATGCGACAATCCTGAACAGCGCAAAGAAAAATCTCATACAAGGCATATTAATTCACACCCTATGCTACAACTGCAAGATATGGTCACTGACTACAAACCAGAAAAGAACATTAGTAACCAGGGAAATGAAATGCCTAAGATGAGCTGCAGGAGTGACAATAAGAGATACAATTAGGAATGAGGTCATAAGAGAATAAGTCGGCTCAGAACCAATTCTAAATTACACAGAAAGTCAGCAAATAAAATGGTTTGCTCACTTAAAGAGAATGCCTTGAGACGCTATACCCTACTAGGCATACACAAAAAATGGAGAAGGACGTAGATCCTGAGACAGACCGATAAAAAACAATATGGAAAGATAACATCAGAAAACTCTACAACAGCAACAAGGATTTATGGTCGAAGCGGCTAGAAGAGCAGGAAGCAGAACCTTATATTCCCATTGACACCCAACATAGTAAACGAGGAACTGAAGAAGAAAGGGAACATTCTTCTGTTTCCTTGTGGTGTCCACATAAGGACTATCTAATTAAACTAATAACATTTTCTCTCAAGTTGGTAAATCAAAAATTTGTTACCTACCCTTCTAACAATAATGCCATGCAGCAAGCACCACCATCTGCATCTCCAGCTACCATTTCCTGAGGTTCCTCTTCCTTTGCATCACCAAGTGACTGGGAAATATCCTCAGTGGCATTCATACTGACAACTTGTTTGTCGTCTTCAGTGTTAGCCTGAAACATGTTATCCCCTGCCACTGCTTGGCTAGCTGCTTCGACTGACACTTCACCAGTTTCAGTACTACTTGCTGCTACTGTAGTCTCACAAAAAACCGAATGCTGAGACTCTGAGCAGCACAGCCCAGCTTCAGCAACTTCAGGAAGATGCACCGACTGTTCTTGAACTATTTCATCAGGGATCCTGGATGTGACAGCTCCACTGCATGACCCTTCCGAAAGACTGAGATCTGTCTGCGTCAAATCTGGAAAGCTTTCGACTGTTGTTTCAAGGATGGTATCTTGGCTAACAACTGCTTCTAGAGAGTTCAGAGGTTTTTCAGCACCTTCATCAGAAACAGAATTCTGCTGAGTTTCCAAAAATGCACTCGCTGCATTCATATTTTCGTCCTCAGAGTGAGCATCTGTGATTGGGGTATCATCTGTTACCATTACCGCATCTAAATAGGAAAATACATTTATTGTTCCCATATTATTTTCTATTATATGATTTTATAGTGCAGCAAATAATTTACATATTTATTCATCCCAAGGGAGCTGCAGTAAGAGAATGTTTAAGACGCCTGCCTGCTCGAAGCTTTTCAGTTCAAATCTGCATTCAGGTAATTTCAATAATTGATCTAGGCTCCTAGGTCAACACAACCTAAACTGGGTACCAGAAAATGTTGTGGGAAGTAAAGGCAGCTGGTATGATGTTGACCACATTACCTCTATGTGCCATTTGCTCTATAAGAAAATGGATGCAGCACTGATATACAACTGGCATAAAGAGGCTGCTTTAATTTATTTCATTACATGCATACCATATTTTAAGATCTTTATAACTTTTTAAAATGTATGCACAGACTATGCACAAAAACATGCCTTAATGTTGATTATGTGGTGGTTAAATGCATTCTGTGTGTGCTATTCTGGCAGTCACAAATGTTAACATTAAATGTGCTCCATGTGTTTGAAGAGTGGTTACAAGATGTTTCATGTTCTGCTGAATGAAGCATGATTAAGAGGTTATGTGAATGAGAATTCATTATTGTATATTTAGAGGAGTGTACAAGTTTTCCATAGTACTATGAGTATGGGTAATTACCGCTGTGCTTTACCTGGTAGTATGGTTTGGTGGATAATGTGCTTGGCAACTTTAACTATAATGTCTGTTGTGAAAGTGTGCTGAGTGTGAGATGTGGATGCTCAAGTATCCATGCTTCTTATGTCCTTGTTCCCATTGCTGTTCTGAGTTTTGTCATGGTCCCCAACAGGTGGGTGCAGTGCTTAGACCAGGGCTGTTTATTCAGGCACCAAAATTGTGAAAACAAGGATTACCAAAGGCCAGGCCAGAGCCCCAGCATAGAAAAAGAAATAAAACAATACAAGTGTCAATGATCAGTGGGGGACTAGCTAGACCTCCATGTGCCAGATTTGACCCATAGGCCACCAGCTGATTAGCTCTCGGTTAGACTATCGCCTGCAAGCCAGAAGGTTTTGCTTTCAAATCCAGTGTTGGATTTGTTGTAAACTGGCCTTGGTTTCCAGGTCGTCCTAGCCTAAAGTGGATAACAGATGGTGTCCTTGGAAGAAGTAAAGGTGTCCATCGTGATGTTTACAACATGTGCCTCTACATCATTCATCATGTGCCACTACATCAACCATCATGTGCCACTACATCACCCATCATGTGCCACTACATCACCCATCATGTGCCACTACATCACCCATCATGTGCCACTACATCACCCATCATGTGCACCACATCACTTATCAAGAGCCACTACATCACCCATCATGTGCCACTACATCACCCATCATGTGCCACTACATCACCCATCATGTGCACCACATCACCTATCAAGAGCCACTACATCACCCATCATGTGCCACTACATCACCCATCATGTGCCACTACATCACCCATCATGTGCCACTACATCACCCATCATGTGCCACTACATCACCCATCATGTGCCACTACATCACCCATCATGTGCCACTACATCACCCATCATGTGCCACTACATCACCCATCATGTGCCACTACATCACCTATCATGTGCCACTACATCACCTATCATGTGCCACTACATCACCTATCATGTGCCACTACATCACCCATCATGTGCACTACATCACCCATCATGTGCACCACATCACCTATCATGTGCCACTACATCACCTATCAAAAGCCACTACATCACCCATCATGTGCACCACATCACCCATCATGTGCACTACATCACCTATCATGTGCCACTACATCACCCATCATGTGCACTACATCACCTATCAAAAGCCACTACATCACCCATCATGTGCACTACATCACCCATCATGTGCACTACATCACCTATCATGTGCCACTACATCACCCATCATGTGCACCACATCACCTATCATGTGCACTACATCACCTATCAAAAGCCACTACATCACCCATCATGTGCACTACATCACCTATCAAGAGCCACTACATCACCCATCATGTGCCACTACATCACCCATCATGTGCACCACATCACTTATCAAGAGCCACTACATCACCCATCATGTGCCACTACATCATCCATCATGTGCCACTACATCACCCATCATGTACCACTACATCACCCATCATGTACCACTACATCACCCATCATGTGCACTACATCACCTATCAAGAGCCACTACATCACCCATCATGTGCCACTACATCACCCATCATGTGCCACTACATCACCCATCATGTGCCACTACATCACCCATCATGTGCCACTACATTACCCATCATGTGCCACTACAACACCTATCAAGAACCACTACATCACCCGTAATGTGTCACTTCAACACCCATCATGTGCCACTACATCACCCGTCATGTGCCACTACATCACCCGTAATGTGTCACTACATCACCCATCACGTGCCACTACATCACCCGTCATGTGCCACTACATCACCCGTCATGTGCCACTACATCACCCGTCATGTGCCACTACATCACCTATCAAGAGCCACTACATCACCCGTAATGTGTCACTACATCACCCGTAATGTGCCACTACATCACCCATCATGTGCCACTACATCACCCGTCATGTGCCACTACATCACCCATCATGTGCCACTACATCACCTATCATGTGCCACTACATCACCCATCATGTGCCACTACATCACCCGTCATGTGCCACTACATCACCCGTCATGTGCCACTACATCACCCGTCATGTGCCACTACATCACCCATCATGTGCCACTACATCACTACTTTAGTAGCTCTAGTTTTGCTATTGTTCAAGTCTGCCTCTTTTCTTTTCTTCGATCATTTTGATGGTTTCTGGCATTATCCACGCTTTATGTTTCCATTCTTTCTCTCCAATGACTTCTACACGAGATTCATTCCAAATTCCCTTGATCTGATCCCATCAGACTTCAGTGCTTATCTCTTCAGCTAACTGCTGCAACACCTGGTACTTACTGGAGACTGCAACTGAAAATTGTTCCTCAACTTCTTTATCCCTGAGATAACCTACATTATACTGGTTTCTATGATTATATGATGTTATACATCTTTCAAGTTTCAACTTGATTTAATTTGCCAATAGAAAATGATTAGTAAACATACTGGCGCCTCTAAAAGCCCTAATATCATACAGGGATAATCTAAATTTTTAGTTTTTACATACATGATCATACATGTTGTCTTATGGTTTGGTGACTCCCATGTTGCTTTGTGTATTCTTTTATGTGGGAGAATGCTTCCACCAATAACATACTGGTTTCCTGCACAAATATTGGTGATTCTCCATTTTCATTCATTAACCCTAGTTCATATCTTCCCATAATCTCTTTATAACCTGTCAAACGTCTACATCTTGAAACAAAATTTAACATATTCTGGAAATCAACCTACCTTCTGCTGGGTGACTTCTGATCAGCTGTGCAGGTATTATTCCTTCAATCCCTTCAAAACTCAAAACTTCAATGGAGCTTTCACTAGACTCAGAATCTTCATCTCCTGACTGGCAATCACAAAATAAAACATTATCTTTTTCAAACCCAGAATACATAAAATCTTGTTCCTCTTCTGTGGTCATCCCAAGACGTGAATATGTTGTCCCCATTTACAACTTGGCTACGATATTTTCTCCTTTTGGCTGACACATACGACTTCCCCAGTCATTTGTTGCATGGGTTAGGAATTCATAAAATGGAATGACATATTCACATTTGTTTCTAACAATGTTGCGCACATCTTTTTCTTATTTTCTTCTTGGCATTCACTGGCTGTAATAAACTTTGGACAAAAGTTCTGGTTGTTCATCCACTTCTGGGCTTTAGTATTGTTCTAGAACTTGAGTTTTGCATGCACATCTGTGTTTTAGAAATGACTTATTTGTATGCAGAGACTGTAGGTTCCTCACCTCTCAGGCAGATAGACTGATTCTGAAAGAAACACCCCTAATTAGTCAACTTTTATTACCTGATTTTTGGGAAGGGTGTGGGCGCAGTGGGTCTATTCTTGTCCCACCCCAATGGGACCCCAGAAACCACACGGGAGTTGTGTATATCTTAAATCTCATGTTCCTTTTCAGAACACTGTTCTCACCCCAGCATGCCAGAAAAATCACAGTCCCCAGTCAACTCTTGTGCCTTATAAATCTTTATCTGAAATATACGTTTTAGTTAAGACTGAACACAGCTCTTCTGATATTGCAGCTTCTGCAACATGCTTTGTTCCTAACAAACTGGTGATACTTTTCCTTTGGAGTAAACAAGGCAGACCGAGAAGGTGATCATGTTGCATGAGCTGCACAGCCTCTACAATACTGCCTGTTTGTACCTGGCAGAGCAAACCATTAGCATAGCCTATGACTTCCATGCCTCCTTATTGCACAATATCACTGCCTGGAAAGACTATGATTATTAATAAAATGTTACTAGTTTTGTTTCTGCATCAAATTATATCAATTATTAAAAACATTTCACTTATTTTTCTCTTGGGTCCTCCTGCACTATTATACATTTTGACAAAAATGTTATGTTTACAGATTTAAAAAAAAAAAGACTTACCATAATATCCCCCTGGCTGTTGACAAAAGTCCAGCCAGGGGAAGACTGAGCCTCCTTGTCAATACTTCCATGTGGATCAGACATGATCTCTCATCAATGTTTTCTGTGAAAAAAATGTACAATGACGAGTCTTTTAACAAGGGTACAGACAACACTAACGAAATTACTTTTACCTGAATCAATCTACACATAACACTGACACAAAATTCTAAATTTAGAATATGTACCTCATTTTGTTTGAAAAAAACTATACACTATAAAAGCAAATTACTGTTAATGGATTAGTGCCATTGCTGGTGATGCATGGAAGATTGAATGGCTGAGAATTAAATAACATTTTCCATTAAAATATCCAGTGCTCTCCTTTTCCTCTCCAAACTCAAAGGCAGGTGTGCTAGTCCAGTGCAGGAACTTCACAAAGCACAGCAAAAATAATAAAAGAGAATAGTGCACTTATAAGGCAACTAAGTCTTGAAATGCTTTAGAAATCACAACTGGTATTGTACGCTCTGAATGAGTAGAAAGCTTTCAGAAATCACGCTCAACTTCCCTCATCTAGGCAGGCGGGGTAAAAACTTATGAATGAATGAGCAGAACTGGCAAGCAATGCACTAAAACATGCAGGAAAAAAGTGAAGACAGAGCTGATATCGATTCTGCACAGACCAGGCTATTGTGTAATGATGAACCTCTGACACTAACAAGATTTTATAACATGGGAGTAAAGCATGGTGAAGCATATCTACCCCGCCTCTGAGACCGAGACGTTATAGCCAACTCCTTATAGGAACAATCAATAGAGGTAACTTGGAATGACTGCCACATTAGAGGACTGAGTATGCATGAGAAATGCCAGTGTGCAGTGACAATAATATAATATTTCTGCAGCAAATGAATGTATTAAGTTATGTGCTTTCATAACCCATATATCTTCAATTTCTTGTATCCACATTGAACACGGCCTAATGAAAAGGCTATCCTGGTTAAATATTAACAGAACTATCACTATGACACTTTTTAGTGTCATGGACCATGTCTAGAGAAGATATTGCTGAAAACTTTGAGTGTCAGTGTTGGTAGTGGGAGACAGATGGAAATTACGATGGGATGGTCTGGGAGAATAGTAGAGGTGAATATCACATAAATGACCCAGAACTGATTATGCAGTTCTCTTATCTGCTGTATCTAGAGAGACATGAACGACGTCATTAAAAATTATAGCAAATTATTATTATAAACCTGATATCGGTCACGACTATTTAATTTATTAATGCCATTTGAACATTCAGTTACACAGATGCTTATTAAGTGGCCTAGTGACAGATTACTTATATTATTACAAACTACAAACTGGGAAAAAAAAAAACGTCCACATACAAGTACAAAGGTTTTTACACAAAGTAAACAAAGGGGTCGCAAGAAGACAACAATAGAAGGGTGCACTTCCAATTTCACATTTGCATAAGTCATAAGCAATAAATAATGGTAGTCTGAATGCTGAAATTATCGATGCTATCGCATCTCTCAAACTATTACAGAAGCTTTAGCATTGCCTTTACATAGTAAGTGAACATATAATCAACCGTTGGGATAACCAAGCAAATATCTACACGTCACTTTCTTACTCCTGCCAGGTAAAAATAAGTCTACGCAAGATTGCCCCAGGAACTTCCTGTCAAAACTTCTCTCCAAAATAACAACATGACCCAGTAACCTATCGCAGACGTCATTCCTCAGTTTCGAACAACCCTTAACTTAAGCCAAGACATTTTAAACAGATTATTTGCGATCATCTTAAAAATAAAATATATTAAAAATTATTTATCTATTATACTGTGTTAATATGGAATGGAATAAATAACTTAAACCCTTTACATTCGAAACTATTTAATATAATTCACCTGTGAGGATTTAAGGGAGCTTTGCTATTTTAGTTTGATTGATTGATTGATTGAATCAAGACTTGACTTAGCTAAACACGAGACACTGCTCAACACCCCATTTAGTCAGATAAACAATCACGAAAGACAAATAAACGGGTCTGCCTAATTTCGATCTTCATGAAAATGCCTCTGATAACTTCCAGTTGAATCCGTCTCTCCAAATATGAATACTTTGTGTGCTCTGTTGCACTGTCATCTTTAACACAGAGAGCCTTTACCACGCTTCCCTTTGTTATAAAGGAAAGCGCCAGCAGACAATCATTCCCCACTATATCTTAATGTCCTTGACCGAGAATCCATGATTAATCCCAGATCTGAGTCTTATTAAGCGATGCCAGCCTCACTATGCGTCGGATACCATTTGCTATTTTCAAAAGCACACACTGCGAGACTGTTACAAATTCAACATGTTAGTTGGCCTGTTAATCGGCCTATCATCCTCACTACACATCGGACAATCTCATAAGCGCTTAAAACCCGTCTTCGGTACCTTCCCCCAGCGTCTGGTGATTTATAACACCAGCTTTGTGTTGGTTTATCTTCTTCGTTGGCTACCTAAATAGTTTTCATGTCTGGCAACATCACTTTTGACATTTTCTTGTAGTCTTGTCAGGGTGTCTGATTCACCCACTTCTCCTAAATCATCTGTTCAAGCTGCCTCATTGATAACATTAAGAACATCTATTCGTTCCATTGCTTCTCAAGTGTAAACAATGACCCTGTCAGTAAGCTAATCCGTTGGTTCATTCCCTCTTACCCCAAAGTGTCTAGGCCCAAAAATTAAACTGATTCATGTCAGAGACTCCAATCATTGTCTTCGAACCCATACACTCTTGATCTTTTTAAGCATGTTCATCGAATCAGTTTAAAACATTAATGATTTTAAGGCCCTATCCCGGCTAATGTCGGGACCCTGAATACAACCTACGGATTAAACTTGGTTTCTGGGATTTGCGCCCTGGTGATTCTAAACCGAATCGTGACACTTTGTGTTACCCGATCTTTATCACTCGATGTACGATTCTGGTGGGGTTGAACGACAATCAATCAAGGATTTTGTTATCTACATTCACTGTCCAGTTTTATGCAGACTGAAAAGGATTTACACAATTCTGCCGCTACTCTCACTCATTTAAAGTTCAACAAATGATTTATGACAGTTCTCACCCAGGTGGCTCTGTTTCAACAGGCAGACGAAGCTAATGGGGGTTCTTAGCAAAAGTGAATAGACGTCGCTTAGTGCAGCAAAGCCGAGCATATGACACCACAACATCTAGTTTGAGAATGGAGGTGGATGCAATCAGCGCAGGCTTTTGAGAATCAGCTGTACACACGTCTTAACTGTAACCGTCTCACAGAGCATGTTGAGAAAGGTAGAGATCGGTTGCTCCTTGAAGAGTGGCAAGAATCGCTTCAGAGGTCCCGGGTAGTTAGCGTCCTTTGGATATTTTCTCCAGGTCATGCCTGTGTATCAGGAAATGACAGGCAAATATACTGATGCTTCTGCACAGCTTAGTGGAAAATAGATGTTGTAAGGGCCCTTGGGGTGCGAGTGAACAGTGCGGAGGCACAGGTGAATCATCAAGGTCTGAGGAGAATGGCGATATGAAGGGTGACCAGGAGAACTGGTCGACGATCAACGCTCAAGAGAAGGGTGAAACAGATATATAATCAAACCATTCTTGACATAATCGGAATTGGAACACTGCGCTTGCTGCTAAAGAGGGGACGGGACGCTTATGAGTATGTCCCGAGTGCTGTGATGTCGATTCCTTATGAAACATTAAACATTCAACCATGCCACTGTTGACTTCGACATATAAAAGTTAGCTGCGTATCCTTTACAGGACATTGCTGAACCAACCTTAACAGCTCCTGGCTGTTGTGTGGTTTCTCTAGGCAATATACGTCCAGTAGTTTGCCATTGCCTCCTGGACGGTCGGCTTTCTTGATACCGCTGTCGAAACCAACGCAAGGCGCAGTACCCGCAGATGGGATCGAACCTGGCATCCCGGCATTACGAAGCGAAGCGTTCGCATCGACTTAGCCACAGAGCCGACGTTCGACATATATAATGACAAATATAATATGTCGGGCTCTACTACGCCCTTCCCATGGCCATACAGTGGCTACGATCCCCATTTCTATTCTGATGTTGGATGTTCTGGTATTGAATGATTTATCAAACCCTAGACTCGGGAGTGCGAGGAGGTTTCAATTGTAAAATATACAAAATATAATTAATATGATAACCCTGGCATTTCATTACAGATTAAGAAAAAATTCTGACCAAAGTGTATCTCAATAATGTTTGTTTCCCTTTTAGAATCTGTTGTCCTCCTCCTTTGAACCACATTTTGATATGTTTGGGGAAGGATGTGGGGGTCTTGTAATATCCCAAGGGGCTTTGGGAGGCCCTGCAATATATTTAAGAGTGTGTGCCTAAACAAAAAAATAAAAAAAAACATTTTCAGGGGGGAACTTCTGCATTTGCCCTTAAAAGGCCGGTTGGCTCTCTGTGTTGTGATTTACAGCTAGTGCCTATTAGCGCCTTTCACGACATGCTTTTAAAGGGTTAGTGGGTCTAATCACTTCCTGTCTAGAAAACGCGCAAATGGTTATAAGACATCCGCACCCAAATTCAGCAGCCAATAAAAAGTTCCTATTACGAGGGCACCAGAAGTAGTTTAACTGCACAACCGTCCAACCTCACCTCTGAGTGTTGAATGTGGGTCCACGTTTTTTTTTTTTTTGGGGTACCGTGATGATCAATATGTGTGCTTCCGCACAGTTCCATCGTTCCCATAGGACTACATCTATCTTGTCATGCATCAATTTACTACCAAATGGTGCAGAGCCAGTAAATATTTCTGCCTGTCCATTGCCTATCATACCTATCTCTCTATCTATCTTCTTTTACCCCACCAGGACATCATACAAGCGATAAACATCTGATGACACAAAGTGCCACCATGTGGATGAGGATCACCCGTGGAGAGGTCCCAGAAACCGCGTTCAGCCATTAGACCATATTAATAATTAATGGCCTGCCTATATAGCGGCCCCTGGCAGGAGCCAGAGTAGGGCTTCAAATAAGAAACATTCCATTCCACAAAGGGAGGACAAGATGTACTATCATACCTGCAGAAAATACCTAAAATATGTAAACTACCAGGTATCTCAGAAGGAAAATTCGTCCCTTTGCTCAGGCATAGTGTATTCCTTCGGTTATTTACGGTTATAGTACGGTTACTTACTGTAGGTGCCGAGCAACGGCTTCAATAAAGAAAGCGGAAGTTTCAACTTGCCCAAAATATAATCTTCCGTCCTGTGTTCTGTTAATGTTATTCCACTTACTTCTACTTCTATATTTCTAATTTTCGCCTGAGGCTCAGTAGCTTAGAGTTAGCAGGTACTACAAGAACAATGTTGTGCACGTTTTAAAAAAGTTACCTCTTTACATACCCATACCCATCGTTAAATTTATTGAGAAGCAAAGAATGAAATGGTTTGGACGGTCACCCTAATGAGAATGGAACCAACCGTACCAACGATGCCAGCATCAAGAGCATACAACATGAAAATCGAAACACCAAGAGGCAGGGGAAGACCAAGAAGAAGATGGATTGAAGGAGTCACGGACAACTTGAGACTTCATAACATCACGGCATATGAAGCGACTGAGCGCGCCCTGGCTCGGTTGCCGATCATCTGATAGACTGCGACGCCTAGCGGCACAAGCAGATTTTGACAAAAGAAGAAGAAGAAGACCTCTTTACATTCAATGATACTTAAGGCTGAACTGGCTGCTGCAGATTGGGACAGAGCCGATAAAAATGAAAAAGTTTGTGACTGAACTGACTGTGATGGAGTTTTACATAATTTACCTGTCACACAGCTCAATCATGGGACCTATCAAGTTCCTTAACTATAGTTTTCCAGAATATACAAATTAAGGCATAACGACGTATCTATAATTGTCACTAAATGAACTGAGTTCAAGTAAGAAAGAGCCTCAGGCGCCTCAGCTGAATTTAAGATTAAGAACAGCCAACCCCGGCAATAATAGTTACAACAACATCACAAAACGTAACATATATTTTTTTAAAAACTGAACCACCAAACTTGTTGAGCTCTGTGTTGCGGGGCAGGCGAAGTGCATGGGGTTTCATAGCAAAGGCAAATGTACGTCGCCAAGTGCATCATCACCTTGCATATGATACCACAACGTCTAGTTTAAGAATGGAGGTGGAGGCTATCTCTGCTGCCTTCTGCTGGCTTGAGAATCAACTGTATACACATGCCGTGATTGTAACTGACTCACAGAGCATGTTGAGAGTAGCAAGCATCATTTCAGAGGTCTCAGGTAGTTAGCATCCTTTGGATATTTTCTCCAGGTGTGTTGGGAAATGAGTCGTCAGATAGACTTGCTGGCTCTGCACCATTTGGTGGTGAATTGATGTATGATAAGTTTTATATTGTGAGGGCCCTTTGGGAACGTGTTAACAGTGTGGAGGCGCAGATAGATCATTATGGTCTGAGGAGAATGGCGCTGCGAGGAGTTACCAGGGAATCTGGCCGACGCTCAACACTCAGGGAAATGGATGAGACAGATATACAATCAGATGGTTACTGGTACCATCAGAATTGGAACTCTTTGCTTGCTGCTGAAGATTGGGACTGAGCATTTATGGGAGTGTCCCAAGTGCTGTGATGTCAATTCTTAATTCAACAATCAAACTTGTTGAGCATAATATTATGTATGGTGCACAAGTCTAATTAAATTGCAGCAGAGTATAGAAACTGTTTACTTTTCATAACATACATGGATAAGATCACTGTAGAAGCAAACCCAGACGTGTATGCTATAAACGAATTACTTTTTGCTGATGATCAAAGCATACTGTATCAAAATGAATATGATCTACAGGAACATCTGACTACTCTCAACAACAGCTGTTTACAACATAATATGAGAATCAGTACAGAAAAAACAGAAGTTATGAAGATCAGCAGAACACACAGGCCACTGAATATAAATGTTGGAAGTGCCAAAATCAAGCAAACCAAAGAGTTCAAATACTTGGGCAGTATATTTACAGAGGATGGAAGAATGGACAGAGAGATAGAAACAAGAATACAGAAAGCAAATGCTGTCACATACCAACTATCACCTCTGCTTAAACATCCAGATATAACCATGAAGACCAAAAGACAATTGATAAACACCATCTTCATTCCAACACTCTGCTACCAGTGCCAGACATGGACAATCAACAAGACCCATGAAAGAAAAATAGAAGCCTGTGAAATGAAATGTCTAAGAAAAGCAGCGAATAAGACCAGACTAGACAGGATAAAGAATATAGACATTAGAAAACACTGTCAAAACTACACCATGTTTAGACTACATAGAACATCAAAGAATGAAATGGTTTGGACATCTAACCAGGATGAAAAATGATCAAATAAACATCACAAATTTTCAACCAAAGAAGCTCAGGATATAGGGCAAGAGGAAGACCAAGGAAACGGTGGATTGACGGGGTCTCCGAAACCTGCCAAAAGCATGGCCTCAGAACATCAGATGCTGCCCGCCTTGCTTATGACAGGAACTTGCATCTCCCCACAACGCTTAGCGGCATACGTGGAAGGAAAAAGTAAAAGTAAAGTAAGATATTGATAATTTAAAACTATCTCACAGCTTACTGTAAAGTATATCCTAGGATGGCAAAGTTGTGATGATAATAATAATAAATCAGCTAGTCAGTTAGGTGCCATCTCCACTCTAAAGGTTGGCTACAAGGAATCTCTAACATGCTCTACCTCTGTTTTTTGTTAAAAATTTTTTATTTGCAGTCTCTCAAGGAGCTCTATATTTGATTGTTTTTGTTTCCATGAAAAATAAACTATTCTTCTGTATATCCACATTTGCATTGATTCAGTTAAATTTTATAGTTGCCTGTTTAATGTCCAAGTTTGTGTATCATACAGTAGGATTGAATATACATAACATTTGACAGTTCTCATTTTTAATGTGTTGTTTATCTCTCTATCTGTCAGTGATTTTCATATCTTATTGAAGAAAGTTTTAAGCCATTCTTATTCTATTTTTGATTTATGTTTCACTGCTAATAAAAATAATTAATATAATGACAGCAGAAAGCAGCCATGATAATTGGCAACCAAATGAAAACTTTCAACACACTAAATAGTGTGCTGGATGTTATCCCCTGATCTTTTAAACTGTTATAGGAAAATAATAATGAGATTTATACAATATGTGCAGGAATGTCAGTTGTGTAATATCTGTTTTTATTGATCAGTGGCACTTGATGGGTGTTGAGGTTGGTATCACGCCGGTTGCTTGCATTTCATGGAACATTGTTTGCACCCATTTTATTTTGCATCTGCCAGAAACCCAGGAAAATGTTTACAAAATCTGCTTGGTTAGAGAATTTCAACAGTGACAATCAGACCAGCATGCAGGTGTGCTAACAAATGCTTTGCCACAGGTCCTGTGGTTGTGTAATAACTACAAAAGTTTATCAATCACTAAGGACATCCTTTATGTTGAATTACACAAAGGCAGAAGAACTCAGGAAGCCGCCAGAGCCTAGCAGGCTAGACTCTTGCCTGCCAGCCCAATGGTCTAGGGTTCAAATCTGCATCAAGGCAGATTGTTTTCAAAATGTACATTGGCTCAATCACTCCTTTTAATGCAACACATTTCTAACGTTATAATTATACATTTCAGTTCCTTATGAGTGGAAGGCTAGGAGTTCAAGGGGCCCTGAATCGCCCAAGGACATTAAACCCACTTCAGCAAGTCGCTTATGATGTGGGTTCAGAGGCCGTGACTGCTGTGAACAATGCAGCCACTTGTAAACTGGAGAGGGAACTAAAAGTAGGATATTCTCTGTCATCTATATATATGTAGCAGGATTTGTGAGGCAGTAGATGTGTAAACAATCATCGTCTTTTTTCATCTCACTGATACCAGGTTATAGCCCAGTGTCGTGGTTTACTGTATTTGTCTTGTGCTTCACAGATGGTTTGGATGATGGATTAGTTCATCTTTTTGCACGATTCAGCCACACCATTTATTCATCTTTTTCTTATTTTCCCTTGCCTTCCTCCCAGATGTTGTGCTGTAAAAAGTGTCATGTCCAGTTTGGTCTGCCTGCTTTCTCACTAGATGGCCGAACTATTTCATACTTTGTCAATATAATCCAGACATGGTCTTATTCAAACTTTCTCTCTAATGCTGGTATTCACAACCCTTTACCTTCTTGTTTTGTTAGAGACAGCACATTTTATATGTAGTTTTTTTCTGTTCTAGTGCCCTATTCATCGCCCATGTTTGGCACTGATAGCATAAAATGGGGACGAAAATGCTATTAACTATTTGTGTTTTGCTGGAAGGGATATCTGGGTGTCTAAGCAGTGGGGCCAACTGGTAGGTGACAGCATTTGCCAAATGTACTCTGGCTTCTATCTTTCTGTCTAGTCTGCGATCCTCCGTAAATACGCTTCATAGATATTTGAAAGCTTATACTTGTTTGACTGTAGTACCTTTAACTTGAACCTTCATGTTATTATGTTTTCTGCCTATTTTCGTTACCTCAGTTTTCACAGAGTTTATTCTCATACCATACGTTGTACAGTTTTGATGTAAGAAGTCAACATTTATACAATAACAAGTTTTCTATGCTAATTTTACAGTCTTCTTATAGTCTGTGAGACATTAGTTGTAGGTCCAATTATGGTATATTTGCCATTTCTGTTACATATGTTTTTCTCCAGCGAATTGTCCAACACTCTCTGCCTTGCCTTTTGTTGCTTCCACGCAACACCATCCATCACATCCTGTTCCCAGGAATCAGCCTATCTCAATACAAGTAATATTGATGTCCTGCTTGCAAATATATTTTATATTGAAATATAAATTCTTGACCCTGAGATCTTCTGTAAAAGTAGTAAAGTAAAGGACCCTTTTCACATTTTTGCTTTACGCATACTGATGTTGTCAATATCACATCGGCTGCCTTTACTTCTCAGGACATTGCCTGGTATCCATTTTAGGCTGGGTTGGCTGTTGAGCCAATGTACATTTTGAAAACAATCTGCCTTGATGCAGATTTGAACCCTAGACCATTGGGCTGGCAGGCAAGAGTCTAGCCTGCTAGGCTCTGGCGGCTTCCTGAGTTCTTCTGCCTTTGTGTAATTCAACATAAAGGATGTCCTTAGGGCCTCTTTCGTCTTCCAGGTTTTGTCAAAGCCATCTGAACCTTCAAAGACCAAGTGTTGAGAAAAACTGTTTTAACACCTTTTCTTAGTGGACTATATTCAAACTGTAAATGGTAATTGTAATGTTTAGTTGTATTTTAAAAGAATAATCCTGTGGGGACTCAGTTAAAAGAAACTTCTTGACAAATATTTTGGTAATTTCTTCATCATTTAGTTGTAATAGAGATCCATATGCAAGAGGTGCTTTAAATGTAATTTTATTTGAAATTGGAAAGGAAACTAAATGTAACCTTGACAGTTTTTATTTGTAACCAAGGTTATGGGAAAATGGATACATTTAAAGTTTTATATTTATTACGTGTTCTTTGTGGTTAACCACTTCAGTAATGGTAGCAGTGGATATATTGTAGTAATTTTTGTATCTGTAAAATTTTTAGGAAACAAAACCAACAATAAAGGATGTAAATCACTCATCTCATTTATCTCATAATCTATGTGAATACATAACACACCTTTGTCAGTTTGTGTCCTTGGATTACCTTTATACCAGTTGATAATACCAATTTCTAAGTGGTAAATTACAAGCACATATGTTTCTATTACTGTTTCAGACGATGCAGGAGGAAAATTTGCAGCTAAGACGTGAGCTTCATGAATCAAGGTAAGTTTAATTTTCACCAAAAATGCTGCTTCAGATTAACAAAAGTGGATTAAGTTAACTTGCATTATATGTAAATATATTGAACTAGTTATTTTGGATGAATATTGAGTAGTAGCAGTTGTAGTTTCACAAAAATATCCTCTTCAAACCTGGGGTTACAGTTGGGATATAAATTGTTCATCAAGTAGTCAGATTATATTTTTGCTATTTTATATATTGTATAACAGTTTATTTGAGACGTTTATGATGTATATCAAATTTTGAAATATTGTCCTGTTTTTACCTTTTGGGTTGTGATTATGGCAAATACAGTAGAAAGGAATAAATAGATAATCTGATTAACATTGTCAAAATCATTCAAGACTCCATGGTTTCAGGATTTTCACTCTTCAAAATACTTTTGGCAAAGCGTTTGCGAAGATTATTGCTGTTAAATTGCAGGCTTTTTTTTTTTTTTTTAGAAAAAAAGAGCTCTTGCTAAGAGGTCTGAGCTGTTACCAGCCAGGGAAAGATATCTGGTCAAATGCGGCCACATTTGCCTTTGATGTTTATGAGGAGTTCCAGAATAGACGGGAGATGGTGGTGGCGACTCTTGGTCTTAAGGATGCCTACAACGGAGTCAGATATGATATTTTTCTTTTTGCGCTCATGGAGATAAGAGCATGTCCCTGGCTGGTGGACTGGATAGCAGCTGTCCTACATTCATGTAAGGTCACCCTCCGCCTGGGTAGCATACAATATCACCCAGGGATTACCCCAGGGTTCTGCAATATCAACAGTGCTCTTCAATATGTATACAAGCAGGACTGCATAACTTGAAGCACCAGGGGTTGGAAGGATATTGACATTTGCAGGTGATATTCTTGCATGTAGGCATGGGAGTGACAGGCAACGGACAGCCCAAGAGCTACATGCAACTGTAGACAAAATGACTGACTGGTGTGCAGAGATGGCTGCTGTCATGAACCCAGAAAAGGCAGCTGTTTTATGGGCTTTGTGGACAAATGAAATGTAAGAGCTTATGTTCCAGGACTCACAGTTAATGATAGAAACATAAAAAGAGAAAGCAAAGGCAGGTACCTGGGTATTACTTTTAGGAATCACATGGAGGCAGTTGCAGTAAAATGTAAAAAAGGACTCATGCACTTAAGGTTATGGCAGCAGTGGATATTTAACAAAAAATGTCGTTCCCAGTGTTCCAGCATTTGGTCCTGTCGGTGACGCTTACCATATCAAAGTGTCAGCTGAGGAAACTGGAACACATACAGAATGAAGCCAGAAGGGTAATTCTGGGATGAACAAGAGATACCCCGGTAGTATGTTTACAATATATACTTGCACTGCCGACTGTTACAGATAGGCTCAAAGTTCTGCAAGCCAAGTCATACCTCAGTTGAGCTGCAGATAAAAATCCCTCCTGCATGAAGCCCTAGACAGAGCTACGGGTCACAGACTGAAAAGGTCTTGGATGGCGCTAGCTGAAGACACATTTAGATATGCATGTAGGCTTGATTACATTGGATGAGGAGAGGCATGGGTCAGAATGTCCCAGCAAAAGGCAGATTGTGTAGGGTTCTGATTGCCCTGGGCTGTGAGTGCAGGGACTGCCAGCGGTGTTGCACAATTAGAAGTTTGACAAATGATTCATGACAATTCTTGTCCAGGTAATGTGGTAATCTATACAGATGACTCTGTATTGAGAGGCAGAAGAAGTTCATAGCAAAAGTGGACATCACCTAGCGCAACAAAGCCTGACATATGATATCACAACATCTAGTTAAAATGTAGGTGGAGGCAGTCACTGCAGCCTTTGCTGTACAGTCAGCTGTACACACATGTCATAATTGTAACCAACTCACAAAGCATGTTGAGAAAGGTGGGGACAGGTATGCTTGATGAAGAGTGACAACCATCACTTCAGAGGTCCTGGGTAGTTAGTGTCCTTTGGATATTTTCCCCAGGATAGACAGGCTGTTTCTGCACAACTTAGTGGTGAATTGATGCATGACAAGCTAGATGTTGTAAGGGCCCTTTGGACATAAGCACGGATGGGTTATCATGGTGTAAAGAGAATGGTACTGGAAGGAGTGACACGGAGTTCTAGTCAGTGATCAGCACTCAGCTAAAAGGTGAGACGGAAATACAATCAGACTGCAGTTGGTACCACTGGATCTGGAACTCTGTGCTTGCTGCTGAAGATGGGAATGGAGCGCTTGTGGGAATGTCCCAAGTGCTGTGATGTTGATTCTTAATTAATCATTATACATTAACATTTTCATTAAAATAGTGAATACTGAGCCAGCTTTTGAAAAAATCTATATGTATTCCGAGCCCATTGTAAAGAAAAAACAAAAAAGAGTAGACCCACTCACTATCTGAACACGTGGCGTAAGAGTGGACTTACTGGGAGCTTCCTTCAAAGTTTTAGTGCATCTGCCTGAGGGGCAAGGAACTAACAATCTGCTTACAAACGAGTCAGATTTGTAAAACAGATGTACATGCAACACTCATGTTCTGGGACAGGACTAGAGTCCAGAAGTGGACAAACAACAAGAACTTCCCGCCTAAATTCAAAGCCAGTGAATGCGAAGAACGAAGCAGAAGAACAAATCACCACAGAAAAGAGGAGATTGGGTAGCACACTGCTTACTGCCGTGGGATAATCAATCTGTTCCTTGAACTTTAAAGGTAGCCAGTAGATATATTACTTTTTCATCATATTTAAATTAAGTGCTGCAAATTAAGTATATTAAACCAAGTGAAAGATTGTATACAAGTACAGTAATCACATAGGAAATGTTGCCACTATTAACATTGCCTTTTTTTTCTTAAAAAATCTCATTCGTATTAGTTTATTGTTAATAAAGCTAAGGTACATATCTGATTAAATTGAAGAAATGTATCTGGTTTCTATAGAATGGCTCTGAAGCAGCTGTTCAGTGAAAGCTCACATGAAAAGTTTGATGAAAGACGGGTCAACCTTTTGAAATTTCAGTTAATTCAGCTAGAGAGACAGGTATGTTCATTTGTGAAAGTTTAGATTTATTTTTAAATACTTGATGTGTTTTTAATTTCCTCTACATAAAGTTTGCTGAATTGTAACTACTGTTTCAGTCTCATATTTAAACACAAATAATTTATGAATAGCCAAGCAATTCTATTGTTGGCATTATCACCTGTAATAAATAGGGCTGTACCGAATATTTGCTTCGTATTCGCTTCGGGACCGAATAGTGGACCTAATAACTATTCGGTATTCGGCCGAATAGTTGTGGTCGGGCCGAATACGAATAGTGGTTACCTTACACCCATTTCTGGACTGGTGGTAAATAAACATATCAAGATTTTCCACCTTGGTTCATACTGTCAAGCGTTATCTGTGTGCACCACCTACGAGCGTACCAAGAGAGCTGTTTAAGTACAGCTGGAAATACCTTCAGTGAGACACGAAGCTGCCTTAATGTTGACAACATAGAACAATGTTTTTGGGGGATTAATTAAGCTGTCAGTGACAATTTACAGGTTTAGTTACTTAATATAAAACTAAGAATACTTTCATTCCTAGGTATTAGTTACCACAGACTGACTCACTGAAGGATGCAAAACGTGAAATGTTTTTAAACGTTTACTATTCTCTACTACATTTTGTGAAGTAAAATTTCAGACACTATTACAAAGTGGAAGAATGGGCCTCAGTTTGAATAGTGGGAAGACAGAAGTAATGGTGGTATCCAAGAAAAGAATTATTCCTATATGTGTCATAAAAGTCAAAGGTTTTATTTTAGAACAAGTACAGAAATTTAAGTATCTAGGCACGTGGATAACATCAGATAAAAGATGCATTACTGAAATAAAAAACTGAATAAGACAGGCAAAAACTGCCTTTTTAAAAATGAAGAACATCTTATGCAATATATCTGTGTCATTGAAGGTTAGAAAAAGAATTCTTGCTTTCTACATACATCCAGTTTTGAGATATGGCTGTGTCCTGGTTTTGAAAGAGGCGGGAGCCCGAAGACAACTACTCACAGACATCAGAAGGAGACAGTCATCAGTTTTCGGCCATGTTATGAGAGGAGGGAAAATAGAACATGTTGTGACCACTGGAAAGATCTATGGAATGAGGGATCGAGGAAGACAACGAGAGAAGATTCTTGATAGTCTTGTTGCATGGCATGGAGGTGTGTCAGCACACGAAATAATACATACTGCAGAAGATCGCAGATTGTGGCGAGGCATAATCACCCATGCCAGTCGGCAAAGCGCCTGCTGATGATGATTAACTATTCGTATTCGTATTCGGCCAAATAGTTGGTCCAACTATTCGTATTCGGCCGAATAGTGAAAATCACTATTCGGTACAGCCCTAGTAATAAAGCATAAGTCTGAATATTTTTTTCTGCTGCAGATTTAAATGTGGGTAAATATGTAACAGCGGAATGAGAAATAGCATTGAAACTTATCCAAATGAATATTATACTTTGTATTGAAATTAAATGGCAAACAAATGTACTCACAGATTCTGTTTAAGAATTTGTTTTGGTTTAAATTGGTTATAAAACATTAAAGTTTGTAAACAATTTGTATTATTACAGATTGCCATATTGAATGAAGCTCTCAGTTGTCGACAGGAGGCTGTGCTCGAGGTGGAGAACACAATGGCTTGGCTAGCAGATAGACTGCGGTATTCTCACAGATTATTTTCTCTGTAGTTGTAGTAGCTGTTGCAAGTCACTTCAATGTTGGAAGTAGATTTGAGTAGATACTGAGCAACAAATGCTGTGGTCATGTGACAAGACTATACCTCCTTACCCAGTTTACTGACAATCATGGCAGTTTATAGTGTGCCATCTCACATGTTCATTAGAGTCTTGGTGCAGGTTTGTGTTTATGTCTAATTTATACCAAGGAGTAATCAGTAAACATGAATGGAATGAAACATTAAATGGAATACTTCCCTGGGGCTTAGAAATATTTTTATTTCATGCTTCATGCTGTGTCCCCATCACCTCTATCACTGAGTCTTAAGGGAAAATTTGGTGTAAACTGGCTTTTAAAAACCTATTTAGTTTGATGGAAAAACCCACTTAAATAAAATGTTTGGTTAATTTGTTCTCATCCTGACCTCATAAACACTTTGCAGGCGTAAACACAGCCATTAACTATCTGTCTCATAAACAGGTGACTGTAGACAAGTTGTTACAGTAGACATTTACTGTTACAGGCTCCAGTGGTGGTGGTGGGGGTTCAGTTTTGGAGCTTCTCTGGGCAATAGGGTTAAAAAGGCAATTCAAACACTGTGTTGTGGTTTACAGCTAGGCTACAGTATCTGCTCCTTTTGGCCAACACATCTTATTTCAGCAAGTCTTTAATTAGTCACTTGTTAAGATATGCATAAGGGGCAGTGGGTCTATTTTCTTTGTGTGTGTGTGTGTGTGTGTGTGCACGTGCGTGCCAGGGCTCCCCACTCCACCCCTGCCCCCAGATAGGGCTGTGAAACTCACACAGGATCTTGGATGTGATTTGATACTGACTACATCAGTTGTGCCATGATGCCTAATCATAAACATATTGACCACCATGTTGCGTGCTGATTGGTGTGGATTTGGAAGGGTTGTAACATTGTTAGGGACAATGTTGTGTGAATTGTGTTTTCGGGAGTCCACGGGAATGTCCGGTGACCTGAGTCAATATTTGGTACAGTGTTGACTTAAACCACGAGAAGTCAGTCGGCTTGAGTCAGTATTGTGGTAAGTGGGTGTTGATTTAGGGCGGGATGGTCCACTGGATTCACGAAGTTATTAGTCCATTGGGGGCTAATTATCATAAGTAGTACGTGGATAGCTGCTGTCGCACAGAAAGTTATGGGGTGCATGACAGCGTGTGTCTCGTGTACACGGGCCAGCTCACAAGGGACAGGCAAGTGTATATACTGCGGTTGAGTTCCGTTGAGAGAGCAGTAGACAATTGAGAACTCAAATAAATGAGTTGGGAACGTTCGAGGGAAAGCACTCGCGAGAGACTGGTCTAGAGGGCGGTCAAAGGATGAGAAGTCCATTTGGCAGAGCTAGGCCAAGAGAGCTGGACTACTTTAAGAAGATGCTGTCTTGGGTGGAGACACATGTGAAGTGGTAGGAACACTAGTGAAACAAGACAGCAGAAATGTTGGGGATAGCTGTGAGTTAAAGGGGATTCAGCAGAGCCAGGAGTCCTGCCGGTCGTCAGGGTTCCTTTTACCAGGCTAATGTGCTGTGTGCACATGCAGGATATAAAGTATTGTGAAGTTTCCAGTCAGCCGATGTGACAGTGTCTGCTCCGCATAAAACAGCGAAGGTCAGATTTAGTAGCAGATATATCCTGTTCATCCGTACAGCGAGACCTGAAGGGAGGGGCTCTGTAGACCTAGAAACTGTAGCAATCAGCTCAGGTGTAGTGGCAGTAGCTCTAGCAGTCCGTGAGAGCGGAGTGAGCGAAGAGTGGAACATTCATCTCAGGATCAACTAGTGATGTATATGCTTACTTTGCTTGGATTATTCTGTGTGAGAGTTTGTGAATACCCTGTGTGTACGTGACAACAAATGTGCATATATGGCGGCAACAGGTTGTTGAGTTTTCCTGACAGTTCTTGTGCGCAAGTGTGAATTGTATCCTGGACACTTGTTCGTGTGCTGTCTGGGGAGTGAACAACTTTACTAGCACACTACACACCATTTCTCTGGTTTGTCACAAATACATTAACATTGAATTTATTTTGTTTCAAATTAAGATCTTATATAGCGGCAGAAGTGAAGGGACCAGCAGTGCCCATTGCTCGCAGCGACTTAACTTCCATGACTGAAGTTGTAGAATCATCACGAATTAAACTTTTCAAAGCATTAGAGGTAAAACTATGTACCATGTGCTGATGTTTCTAAATGTTGTAAAGTAGAGTAAAGATCCATTTACCTGCCTGTGGCGCATCGGGCATACGAGGCTAGATGTGTGGATGGTGACACAGGCGGACAGTCTCTAATCTTTTGGTTTATAACCTTGTGCAATGACGCTGATTCACATCTCCTGACTTTACCTTTTTACAGCAGTATATCATCCCTACGTTATGTTATCAGTGCCAAACGTGGACAATGAACAAATCACATATGCAAAAAATAACTACGCGTGAAATGCGATGTCTCCGAAGAGTCACCAACAATACACGAAGAGACAGATCACAAATTCAGCATTAGAGACAAAGTTGGAACAAGAGCATGCATGAAACATATTGAAATACAGAGAATGAAGTGGTTTGGCCATTTAGTAAGAATGCAACCGGATCAGATTGCCTATAAGGCCTTTTACAGTAGAACATCGGGAAGAAAGGCCAGAGGAAGACCCAGGAAAAAATGGATAGATGGAGTAGCTGAATACGGCCAGAAGATCCAGAAAACTGTCACTCAAATTACGCGAGAGGCACAAAACAAATATTTTAAACCACGACACTGGGCTGCAACCCGGTAAAAGTGAAGAAGACAATAGATAGATATGTAATGAATGTAATGAGATTGTAACTTTTACATAAAACTGTTTCTTGTTGTCACTGAATTATGAAATTTTAGAAATTTTATTTCACCATTTATGTTCAGAATGAGAGACTGTGACTGTTGAACTTTGTGATTTCACAATTACAAACTTGATTGAACTAGTTGAGTGACAACTTTGAACTGTTAGAGTTTTCAGTAAGAGTTGACATTGAGAACTAACTATTGAACTATGTGCACATGGCAAAACTTTTGGCCAAGAGAAACATTGGTGCAAGTCAAACTTTACGGCATGCTAAGCGAATTACAAAAGACACTGAAGTTTATACTAGTGACAACATTGCAGATATAGATAATTTATTTCAAGCGAACGAAAGAAAAAGAAGAAGAAGAATTGAACTATGAGAGTTAGTATTGAGAACTATTGAACTGTGGGAGTTCAATATGAGAAACTGTTAAACTGACTATTAGAGTTCACGGGAGAAACATGTAATAATCAGTAAATGGTCTTTAGGCTTTAATGATTACTAGGCAAACCATCACTTACATACATACCAGCTTACTGCCATTATTATAATAAAATAATGTAACCCGAACAGCTGATATGCCATCAAACAGTAGTTTTGATTCTTGACAATTTCCCCAGGGTTCAGAGAAAGATGCAATTGGGAAGGATGTACTTTTCTTGAATCAATTTCTTGGCGGAAAGTATAAGAATGGGGAACCATTGACTGTTCTGGATATTTCTCTACAGAGAATGAATTACATCAATTTAAGACATGTAGTAAGAGTTTTGTTTTTGTTTTTAATTTATAAGAGATTATTTTGTCTGCCTGCCTGCTTGTCTGTCTGCTTGCCTGACTATATCTGAATCTCTGATCAGCTTTTTAACATTGTTTGAAGACACTTAAATTTGTCTTTTTCTTTCCCATTATAAAATGTATCTACCGATTCAATGAGTATGATCCGGAGGGTTCAGGCAGGTTCGGTGCGAAGACAATGGCTTGAATCAATTCAGAAGTCCACTGTGCGAGGAGTCACCTTTATTTTTGTTCCGGGACACGCAGGCGTCGATGGAAATGAAAGAGCTGACAGGTTGGCTGGATCCGCTATCACTACCGACGGTCGGCCTATGGATCATGCTGATATTATCAATGCCCTCAGAGAAATGGGAAGGATAGAGGACTTTGGTGGCAGTGAATCCACATCACTCGCCAGGATGGCAGACTTGGGAATTAAGATCGGCACAGCAAAAAACGAGACGCACACCGGACACGTCAGAAGACTTGTTAATCAACATAGAACTGGTACTATTAGCCATCGGACGTTGGGATTCATACTGAGGGGAGGATCTGAGCACCTATGGACATGTCCGGAGTGCAATGATGATAACCCAACTAACTAACTAACTAACTAACTAACAAATGTATCTACCTTTTGACCTGTTTTTTTTAAAATCTATATGTCTAATGTCTGTTTCCTTTTGTGTAAATTAGGCTCACCAAATACAAGACCTAATGATTTAATGATTTGAGCATACACTCTAAATGTGCATATTGCGCTGCTCTTCTGGTCTTATTACTTCGTTCTCTCCTTCATTTACTGTCACTTCCAATCTCTTTTTTTTTTTTACACATAGATACCCTTTTTTCTCTCTCTCAGCTTATTTAAATCGTGAATGTGTTAAGTTATTAAAGACCAGACTCTCAAAATCTATCAGCTTGCTGCACTTCTCATTTCCTAAACTGAAAGGCTTAAATGTATATCTGTGTATTCAATTCTCTTCATGCCTAGTGGCACATGACGCTTCAGAGAGGACTTTCCATGTTTTCCTGTTCTGTGCAATCTTCAGTGCAGTTTTCTATGTCAGAGATGCAGCACTTACGAGGAGAAGTCAGTAAGTAAGTAAGTCACAAACTAAAGACAATAACAACTTGAAAACTATTTATTTTTTCACACATACACTGTGCCTTCATTTTTCAACATAATTTCCACCAACATTAATGCATTTGTCCAATCGTTTTATCAGTCCTCCCAAACCTGCTGCATAGAACTGCATGCTCTTTTTTGTATACCACATTTTCATTTCACATTCATTTTCTGCATAATATTCGCGAAATGTCTCCCGCCAAGATAGGTTTTTAGTGGACCAAAAAAAAAAGGTGGAAATCGCTAGGGGCAGTCAGGGCTGTAAGGTGGATGTTCCAGAAATTCCCACCCTAAAAGAATAATTTTCTCAGCTGAGTGGTATGTTGTCTGGCAATGTCATGAAGGAGCATTATTTCTCTAGTCAGCAGGCCTGGACATTTTCTTCGAATTGCATTCCTGAAGCATTGATACAGCTTTACAGTATGAATCAGCATTCACATTGTCACCTTTTTTTAATTAATTCAAAGCACTCCTTGACAATCCAAGAACACTGTCAGCAAAACCTTCCTTGCTGATGGAATAACCTTGAAGGTGAAGAAGGATGTTTCCATTGCATTGAAGCACACTTTGATTCAGGCTGGTAGTGATGCACTTATGATTCGTCCCCATTAATAATCCTATTCAGCATGTCTTCTCCTTCATCTGCATACCAAAAGAGATGCTGCAAGGATAGGCCTAATCGATTCATCTTGTGCTTGTCCGTCTATTGTCTGGGTACCCACCTTGAGCAAACTTTCTTAAATTTCAATCAATCATGCATTTTGTTTTATGTGAGCACCCTATTGCAGCTGCTACAGAGTTAACCGTTACTCGCCTATCATGGCTAATCTTCTCCTTCACCCGCTGCACAGATGCATCTGTTGCAATCTCAACAGGATGACCAGATCGGACTTCGTGAACAATTTTAGTGTCCTTGATACAAATTTTTTTAACCCAGCTGTGTACTGTTTACGGGATAAACAGTTGTCAGCATAAACAGGAAGCATGTCCTTATGAATGTCCTTAGCAGGCAGCCTTTTTGCCCCCCTCCCCCCAGAAAAATGCACAACAGCACGTTGTTCTTTGAGGGTATACTCCGTAAGTACAGTCGCCATTTTGTTTCTCTGTTGCAAATGTGCATGAAACACCTAGCGCCACCTAATGAACAGAGACATAAAGTTTGATGTTGCTGTCACCTAATGACACCTTTAGAAACCAACTACATTTTCTTGTCATCCCATTACCATTTGTGACTTACGTATTGACTTCCCCTCTTAGTTCACTTTATATCATTCATCTCCATGTTGTTTTTGGGCACCCCTTCATTCTCTTTCCTTCTGGTGTCCAGGTTAGAGCTGTTTTGGCAGGTATCTCAGCATTCATTCTCCTGACGTGGCCAAGCCATTTCCATCTTCTGTAGGTTATCATACTGTCTAGAGTTTCTTGGTTTATGACTTGAAATAGTTGAGTGTTTGAGACTGTATCATACTAGAAAATTTTGACAATTCTACGTAGACATGTAAAGTTGTCTTTTATTGACAATTAGTGTATATAATTTTATTATTACTTATTACTAGTTCTTTACACAGTGATTTTCTACATTTTCTCCTATCTTTTTCAATAGGCTCAGTTGGAATCAAAGCTTTGCCAGCTCTACAAAGAACTGATTGGAGTGAATGAATGTCTTTGTAATGTAAAGCCCTTGTCCTTACTTGCCGGGCACATCAACTGTGCGGAGAAAAATAGAATGGAAACCATGTTGTTAAAAGCATGTGTTGTGATACAAGATGTCAGCGATGACCTGATGGCTTTGTCTCTTCTTTGTCCGAGTGCACCATGGGTAAGAAATGCTTTGTGATCAAGCTATAGATTCTGCTCAAACAAAATGTTCAGAAAAGCAGTCTTCCTCTTCTTCTTCTTCTCTTCTTCACGTTCACCGGCTGGAAAATCATCCTTTATCCTCTTACCTTTAAAATTCACTGGCTGTAAACTCGGGGGGAATGTTCTGGTTGTGTGTGGACATCTTGACTTAGGCCTTAATTAATTATCATCTATGATGTGCTTGTTAGGGGCAGTGGGTCTACTCATTTCCCTTTAAATTTGGGCCCCAGAACTCACAAAGGCTGGATTCAAACCCACTTCAAGATTGAAAAAAAAGACATTTGCTGCCAGTTTGACCTAGCCTAAAATGGATACCAGGTAGTCCTGGGAAGTTAATGATGCTGCATTGAGTGCTGAATGATCTGTGAAAATAGAATATAGCATTATAAGCCCCAATGGTATGAGGAGATATCTTTTGGTATTTTCAGAAAAATGTAATAATTGATATACTTCTTTGTGCATACTGTTTCTTTTTTTATTTGTGTGTACTAAAGATTATATGTTTTTAAAAAAAATACACAAACGGTCGGAACATGCGGGAGACCCGGGTTTGAATCCTTGGTAAGGCTGGGGATGTTTTCTGTCGGGGCAAATTAAAATCTTCACCTGCACAGTCATGGCAACAGCACTATCTATGCGGCCATAAATCCTTAGGTTCAAAGGCTCACCTGCCTACACAGCAAAAGTGGTGTATAAAGGCGGTAATGGCAGATTAAAAAACAGCTTTTGCCTATGCCATGATGAAAGGTTTTCTCATTCAGGCTGTCATTTCTTTCATCATCAGCTTTACTAAAGCTATTGTTGTGGTTATTTTGAAATAAACTGCTGATATACTGTAAACATATTTCAGGAGTATTATTCTTTAATTCTTATGGCAGCCAGTATTGAAGCGACCAATCATCAAGCAGATCCCAGCGGAGCGTGTCATTGCAGCTTTACCAGCTCTGCCCCCGAGCAAGCAAGAGGAAGTAAAACACATCATTGAAGCAAGTATACACACGTGCAATCACCATCAGTTCTTGCTATCAAAACAACTGGCTGTGCTCAAAGAGGAATTGGCTTTTCACCGATCTGTCTACAGTATTCAGAGTCAATACGTACAGGACTTGTTTGATGCTGTCAGGTAAAGATGATGTAGTTTTATATACATTTGTGTATTTCATTGTCATCATCACATGCTTCTCTGAGGGGTGGCTGGTCATGCTTCTCCACAGCTTATGATTCTCCACAGCTCATGATCTCCAACCAATAGAAAGTATCAGCTTTTGCCTATGCCATGGTAAAAAGTTTTCAAGATTGTTCAACCAATAGAAAGTTTCAGCTTTTGCCTATGCCATGGTAAAAGGTTTTCAAGATTGTTCTCTTGCTGTCTTCTTATATCTCTTCTACCAAACATCTTTTCAGTTAAAATGTGAGCCAGTTTTTCTTCTTTGTCTTCTTTCATTTGCTTGAAATAGATTATCTGTATCTGCAGTGTTGTCTCGAGCATGAACTTCACTGTCTGTTGTAAATCTGTCAGCGACCAGTAAAGTTTGGATTGCGCCAGTGTATCTCTTGGCCCACAGTTTTGTGGAGAACGTGATCTCTTGTCTCAGGTGCTAACCGCATGTACACCTGGCTGATTCACCAATCGTAAATTTTGTGTACATGTGGCTGCAAAGTCGATTGTGTCCTGTTCTATTCTCCATTTGTATCAGAAAATGTCTGATGCTTCTTCCTGATGTTTGGGAACATTTGTCTCAGTCATAAAACATGTGCCATCTCCACAGTATAAATTGGCTGCAATGTTTTCCACTGCTGACTAGGGGAATACTACATGGTGTAACCAGGGTCAAGATGGCGGAAATGAAATGTTTATGTACTATGTTAGGTGTAATGAGATGGTCATATGACTTCATGCCCATGTCATGTCTTGGTCACATGGTTTTGTGTCCATGTCATCTTATGGTCATTGACTTCCTGTCTATACCACTTCATGGTCATAAGTCCATGTCAGTTCATGGTAACCTGACTTTTTGTCCATATCATTTCATGGTCACATGGCTTCATTTTCATGTCACTTCTTGGTCATCTGGCTTCATGTCTTTATCATTTTCTGGTCATGTGGCTTAATATACATGTTACTTTATGGTCATGTGGCTTTTTGTCCATGTTACTTTATGGTCATGTGGTTTTGTGTCCATCTCACATTGTGGTTATATGGCTTCATGTTATTTCACTTTATAGTCATGCAACTGTATTTCCGTGTCACTTTGTGGTCTTGTGGCTTCAATTCCATGTCACTTTTGGGTCAGGTCATTTCATGGCCACAAATATTTATGATGTTTCTTCGATAATAGAAAATAGATCTGCCTCTAAATATTGTCTTAGGACTCTCCACATTTGACCTAGGCAGACTCCCAGCTGGCTTCTCTGCAGTTTAATCAGCTGAGATACTTTCACAACATCGCATTCAGGCTGTCACTTCTTTTATCAGCTTTACCAAAGCTAGTGTTGTGGTTATTTAGAAATAAATTGCTGACATACTGTACAATTATATCTGTATATTACAAATAAACAGATAATGTACTGATCGGCACTCATAGAAAGAAGTAGAAAGATAGAAGGGCACACTAGACAACATAAAAATATTAAGCTTTAGTTACCGTGCCAGTGCTTTTGATTTTTATGTTGTCTGTGTCCTTCTATCTTTCTACTTCTTTCAATGAGTGCACATCAGTACATTATCTGTTTGTTTATTATATATATAATATTTATTCGGCCTCAAGGGTTCCTCCTCTGTTTATTTATGTGACACACTGTAAAATATTTCAGAAAAGGTTATGAGGAATTTGAAGCATCTCTGAAGTCGGTGGTTTGCTCGCCTCTGAAAGGTAGGTCACTTTAGTGTGTATTTTAGGGTTGCATCTAACTTCAGTTTTGAAAAGCAATAAAAATAGGGTTTTAAGCATCTAGGATTTGCAGTGACATTGGGTTTAAGATATGACAAATAGACAAAAAAATTAAGGAAAAAAACCCCCAAATTTGGACAGTTTTCAAAGCGAAGTGGACACAGTTTATTTTCTACAGTTGTCTTGTCTTGTCCACAATTGCCTCACAGCGTAGTGGGGAGTCGCAGTTTTCTATCCTGGGCCAGGTGTTTTGCACGTGTTGTTGTTAGTCCGTGTTGCCTCAGGATCTCTGATATATTGTCTATCCATCGTACTCTCGGTCTGCCTCTTGCTCTAGGGCAGTAGTGCTGTTCGTTGTATGCTCGTAGAGGCAGTTGGTCGGTTTGCATTCGCATCAAGTGGCCAAACCACTCTATTTGTTGCTTCTTTATGTATTGCAGGCATGGTGTGGTTCCTACAATTGATCTAATGTTCTCGTTTCGAACTGTCTCTCCTTGTGACATTGGCAGCCTTACGTAAGCATCTCATTTCGCACGTCGTGATCTTTTTCTCCTGTGCTTTTGTTAGGGACCAGGTTTGGCATTGGTAGCAGAGGGTTGGTATAAACATGCAATTTATCAGTTGTTGTTTTAGTGCCATAGTGATGCTTGGGTGTTTTAGCAGTTAACACTGGTTAATCGACAAAATGGTGCATTTTGACAAAGAAAATGAGCGATTTACAAGAAAATAAGTGACAACATGTTAAAATTAGTTAACAATAGGCTGTCCTGCTGCTGCTGTAGACAAGTTCATCATCAAATGAAGGATATAATTACTGCAGTCTTGTTACGTTATCACTCTAATGCTCTCTTTTCATTGACCATGCTTGGTGTGTCTGGTCAGGTTGCTCAACAGATAATGCCAATGACTTCAGCTTCGAGAAGATTTTTTCTGCTGGGTTCAGCATGCAGGAGTAAGGTGATATGAACTTTAGATGATAAGTCCAGCCTAGGATTAGTAGTAGATCATCTGGCTTGTGGATTCTGGCATTGTCCACAACCAGCCATGGACCATTCAGCTCCTCCCTGCTACCTATATGTGCCACACGCTCCTCGATGAATGTGCAGAACATTTCGCCATTGCATGTGCCATCACTGATCATCTTCCAGTGAACTATGTCTTGGTTATTCATTGCTACAGTTAGTGTAATCATGTGGTCTCTCACAGTGGGCAGGATTATGTTTGATTTTTTTCCCCTTTTCTTGAGCGAGCCTGTGTCCATCTCCAATGGTGGTTCAATCCACTTTCATCATTGAAGATGCACTTCTTCTCGTCTTTCAGAGCTTGTGCTGAGAAATTGAGAGTATAAGTATACAAGCGCCATAGTGCTGTTGATATAGTCAAGCTTGTAGTGACACTTCTTTAGGGTGATCTTTATTTTTCTGAGGGCATTGAAAACCATAGAAACAGCCACAAATGCAAACTAGCTTAATAATGATCTTTTTCAAAGGAAGCTCACTTGCACAGGCGTTGCATCAGGGTCGTGTAGTTCTGAAGTTCATTGCTTATATTTGGTTGTTTCGTGAGGTTAATTGGTCCATTCAATAAAGGGATTGGAGCGCATGTCTAGTAAAGGATTTTATAGAATTAATGAAGTAATATTTCTTCCCGACCTTCTGACATTTGCAGGATATTCACGAATGTAGCTGAAAGTCATATGTTTTTTTTTTTAAAGTGTATCATTTGATTTAAAAGTGTTTTTTTTTATTTGAACAATAAATTTGGTGGTTTGGAAAATTGACCAGGTTGATTTGAAAAATTTTCCTAGATGGTTTGAAAATCACCCAGTGTGGTTTAAGAAACATCCTAGGTGTTTGAAGACAATCCAGGTTGATTTGAAAAATGCATTAAATGGTTTGAAAATTGTCCATTTTGATTTGAAAAACATTATAGGTAGTTTGAACATTGTCCAGTTTGGTTTGAAGAATGTTCAGTTTAAATAGAAAATAGTGTGTATGTGCTTGTGTGTGTGTGCATGTGGGCACGCGCACACACATATATATAAACCATGCATTGTACAGTCAGCCACATGTCTTGCTTAACTAACCTATTTTATCATGTTTTAGTGGCTACTTACTAGTCTCTTAGATTTAAGATGAACTAGTGCGGCCAGTTTTTGTCTCTTTGGAGAAAATAACATTATGCATTGCTTTACTTTCTATAGGGGCATTTTTGTTTATTGAATCTGTTTATAGAAATTGTTTACATTGTTATCTTAATTTATGCATACATTATTTAAAGACAGACCTCAGTGTAGTGATACAACCACATAAAATCTTGTATTTCTCAGTTTAACTGTCTGTGATTAATTATTCATTCTTTTCTTAACAAGGTATGTAGGCTGATTAAAACTGTCATAGGTAGTTGTAAATGTATAACTGAATTACACTGTGATCAGCATTTGTTTCTTGTATTCATAGAAATACTCGATGCATACCAGGTGTTGAAGAACTCAGCTTCTGAAGACGCTTTCAGAAAATTCCTGCTGATCATAAAAGCAAATGAAGAACAGGTAAGACCAATGACTAGACATATTTGTAAACAGTGCTTATTCTGACTCTAAAATCATAACTGCTTTTTCAGCCATATAAAATTAATCCACCAGTATTTTATAGTTATAAGAATTCCTTTTTTTAATACTGTGACTGTCACTTGTCCACAATGTTGAAATCCATCAGGGTCACAGTTGAATAGTAAGATAACACATAACTGGTTTTTTCAGCCACTAGACACTCAGGGATTCAGGATTTATGCCCCCGTGTGGGTTCCGGGGCCCCATTGTGGGGAAAACAAGAATAGACCCACTGCCTCCCCAAAAGCATGTCGTAAGAGTCGACTAATTGGGGAGCTTCCTTTGAAGTCGGAGTGCATCTGCCGGAGAGGCAAGGAACCAATAGTCTGTATTCAAGAGAATGATATCTGTAAAACTGATGCACACGCAACACTCAGGTTCTGGAGCAGGACTGCAGTTCAGTAGTGGACGAGCAACCAGAACCTTCCGCCAGAGTTTACAGCTGGTGAACGCGAAGAAGAAGAAGAAGAAGGATTTATTGAGGAAGGGATCAATTTTTTGGACTAAATGGTTGGGTCAGCTGTGAACTAACATACAGATACATCGAATATAGGTCTGCAATATTCATCAGCCATCATGGTCAGACTCTGATTCTTCTTGTTCTTCACTTCCTCGTTTACTGCTTAGGGGCCGCATTAGAACAGTCAATAGGAGAATCGCTTTCAAATCCAGCTGCGACTCGCTGCAGCTCATGGCCAATGTTCGAAACCTGGCAGTTCCCGGGGTTCACACAGCTTCTTGGTAATGGGTACGAGAGTTAACACTCTGGGGTAAACGATGGAATGTCTCTGTAGCTACGGAGTTGCGTGAGGCCAGCGACAGAGGCGGACAGTTTTTTATCAGCTGTCTGTACTGATGGCAGAGCACTTATGTTTTGTAACCATGTGCAATGATGCTGGTTCACATTTCATTACCTTTACCTGCTTCGGGTGTCGAGGAAGATAAAATGTTCTTCTTCCTGTTCTTCTTTCTGCCTCGACCATAGACACATCCTGCTGTTGTAGAGTTTCTCTGATGTTATTTTTCTATCTTGTTCTTGGTCAATCTACCTCATGCTCTAGTTCTTTCTTCTCTTTTAATATATGCCTTGTGTGGTATGGTGTCGGTGGGCAACCCACTTGGTTTGCTGTCTTCTGACTCTGGTTGTATAATTTTTGTTTTGTTTACTTTGTACTTCTGTTTGAGGTTGGTGTGCCATACACTGACCCTGGTTGAGTCCCCAGCTGATCTGGTAATCTTAGTTTCAGCTTCATAGCAAACCGGTCGCCCCATAGTTGCTCGGCTCCTGTGCCAACGAAAAACACATAAGATGTTTATCACAGTCCCCAGCTGAGGTAGGATCAAGCCAACATGAATCTGGGTTCGACACCCGGCCTCACAAATGAACAAAACAGCCTTGCTGAAATGCTAGAGGGAAAAGTGGAAAGCACAATGACAACAGGAAAATAACATAAAAAAGATGGGCTGGAAAAAATGGTTCGTACCATGAGTCTGAATAAGTTGAAACAATTAAAATATGAAATATAAGGAATCTAAGAAAGTCTCAACCGGGAGTTGAATCCAGCCTTGGCAGTGAGAGTGTGGAATTCTAGCTACTAAACAAATCTTGATAAAAAAAAAAGAAATAATTGAGAATTAAATGGGTAAAATAAATTAACAAAAAAGTGCCTTGTTAAAAAAAAAAAAAAGATATAGTGCTTTATGTGATCTTCTCTTATTCTGCTCTCTTATACCCCAGTAGAACATAGACCTTCAACTAACTTATTCCAGGCCACCAGGTCCTTCGCCATCTCATGCATCTCACTCCCTGCCCTCTCCATTTCTTTCACGTCCATCTCTTATTGTTTTCTCAGAATGTTTTTGGGTCTCCCGTATTTTATTTTGCCCTGTGGATTCCAGTGCAAGGGCAAACCAGTTGTTATCACCTTCTCACTGTGTGTTTTTTCTAGAATTATTTTCTCACCTCCAGACATTGCTAGGCACAAAATGAATTAAGCTTTGATTATACTTTTTCACACCTATAGTGTGTGCTAGTTATTTAGCAGGGATGCTGACTGACTGACTGACATTTTACCCCACCAGGAAAACACACTGAGTAATAAACACCTGGTGACACAAAATGCCACCATTCAGACAAAGATCACCCGGGGACAGGTCCAAGAAACCCTGTTCAACCCATAGGGTTATAATTAGGGCCCCCGACCAAAGCCAGGGTGGGGCTTCAAAATAACAAAAAATTGAATACCAGGTGGGAACCGACCGTGACTCAGCAAGGATGCTAATTGTTAGTGGATGGGAAACAGTTGCTAAAACTTGCAGTTAACAATTTGTACATTTTTATTTTGTTTCACAGCTAATGTCTGTAGTGGAAACATTCAGCAGTGATAATTGTAAGTCTGATAACAATGGTAAGCTTTGTATTTGGTCAGATATTATGTTATAATTATATTTATGTAATAACCTTTACAAATAATGAGAATACCATGGTCAGATTAAACAGAGCTGTCTTGAAAGAAACTAACTCAGGAAATGAAAACTAAATGCCCACATTAAAGGGAGACAGTCTACATTCTTTTGTCATGTCAAGACAATGCGAAAACCGGAGTACATCGTAATGGGGAGGAAGCTGGAGGAAAAGAGAGACAGACAGAAAGAGAGAGAATGCCTATAGACTATAAGAAGAGTTATGTTTTTATTTGGCATAGTTGTTTGGTACACTTTGCATTCCAATGTGGGATGCAATTTTTTTGGTTTTAAAGCCCCACCCTATGGGTTGAATGGGTTTTTGAGACCTGGGTGGTCCTCATCCGAATGGTGGCATTTTGTGTTACTTGATGTTTATCGCTCGGTGTGATTACCTGGTGATGTTAAACGTCATCGTCGTTGTTAGACCTTCTGCATCAGCCGGTTCTGCACCACTTGGTGGTGAACTGATGTATGACAAACTAGATGTTGTTAGGGCCCCCAAAATCTTTGAAATTTAATGAGTGAAATTGTTCACAGTGCACACAGAATACCTTAGGGTTCACCCAATCAGTTGATAGTTTTTTTGCCTGTGAGTCATTGATAGTTTTTAAGTGTAGGCTTTCTCATCCATCAATAAAAACACACCATCGGATTACTACGCGTTGCTTTGAATTTTTTTTTTTTAAAACAGTATAACAACACTATGAGACAAAAGTCGTTAAAAAATTGAGATAATGATACTGAAAGGAAAAAAAGATGCTAGTGTTGGAGAGAAACCAGATAACAGTGTAATAACCCACACAGTCCTAGGAATAAAGGAAACCAAAAAACACACAGAGAAGGGAATAAGAGAGTGAAATTCAAGAGATATGAGGACATGGGTTGAGCTGCACAAGATAGCAAAGGATAGGATGACTTGGCGTGAAGTGATTGAGGGCCTACGCTCCACTCGGGGTTATAGGAATGGAAGAAACCAGAAAAAAAGTTAGTGTGACAACTGGATGGGTCACACAGAGTTCACAAAAGTAGATTATACAAGTTGAATCAAGCAAACATGATGAGTTGCCAGGTTCTGATGAAGTTAAAGGCCTATGCTCCACTGGAGGTTAAAGGATGAGAAGAAGCCAGAAAAAAGTTAGTGTGACAACTGGATGGTCACCCAGATGTGACAAAAGTAGAGCATATCAGTTGAATCATGTAAACATATGATGAGTTGCTTTAAGCGTTCTGAAGGAACACCAAAACTGGCAAACAGTGCACAAACACATGTGAGATGAAGCACGGACAGAGCAGATATTATTGACACTGTACAGACTAGGCTACAGGATTATGAACACATCTCTGACACCAACACAATTGTGTAACATGGGAGTAAAGCATGTTATCACAATCTACGTCACTGCACAAAGAGCATTCCCGAGTTTGCTCATTGCTGCGATACAGCAGCTACTCCATGGTATCTCTACTGATTGTTTCTGTAAGGAGCTGGTAACTCCACTATCAAGCAGTCATGTTAAGGTACAGAAGGTGGAGAGAACAATTTGATAGGAAGCGACGCAGTAGATGCACTAGTGCACACAAAAGGCCAGTCTAAGTCAGAACGCTGTGGCAAGGGTCATTTGGTGGATGATGGGGTCGTCATGCCAGCCACCTTTACTTTCCATAATATTACCTGGTACCCATTTTAAGCTGGACTGACCTAGGTCCTAGCCAAGATTGATTAATCCCATCCCATAGAAAATATATTGCAAAGCCTCTCGAAAGCTATAACAGGGCTTCAGCTGAATCAAATGTGTATATTCCAATGCAGGATAAGTAAAAAAAAAAAAAGTTAGTTGTGTATCCTTTACAGGATGTTGCAGAACCAACCCCAGCAATTTTTGGCTGTTGTAATTTTTTAAGGCAAATTTTACATTCAGTAGTTTGCCATTACTTTCTGAACAGTCAGCTCTCAGTACCACTGTTGAAACCAATGCAAGACAAACCATCTGCAGCTGGGATTGAACCCGGCACCCCAGCATTACAAAGTGTTTGCCACAGACGTGGAAAATAGTTCAGGATAAGAGGCAGACAAAAAAAAGTAGGAGGAGATAAACCTTAATAATTTAGTTTGCTTGTTCATATAACTTGTACTCTTTATTTTATCTTCTTACCCACATACTATCTTTATATCTTTTAAAAGCGTATTGAACTCATTACATTTTAATTAAATTTTGTTTACAAGTAAGTATTACAAATGACACTTTTGAAAAACTGACAGGCCCTAACAACGTTTCCATCTGTTACAGACTTTCAGGTTTTCTCAAAATTTGGAGAAGAGTTTATGGACAAGATCAATTCCTTAGTGATAAAGTGTCAGCACGAGAGGGATGCTGCAGCAAAAGAACATAAAGAAGTGAAAGAAGAACAAGCCAAAAAAGACTTGGAGCTGCAGCGTTTATTAGAAGATCTTGAAAATAAATATGCAAAAACATGGATTCCAGTATCAAGTGGGGTAACTTCTGAAAACAAACTTTTGCTGAATGAGAAGGATGCTATCAGCCAAAAGAGTGACAAACATGTATGTGTATCAAGAGAAAATTCAGCAAAAAGTAAAAGAAGTCTTAAAAAAGATGAAGATGTGAAATTTGCAAACATGGGTTTAGATTCCAGAAGTGGAGAAGACGTCACTTGGTGTTGCTTGAAAGACAAATGTCTTAGAGAAAGTAGTAACTTTAAAGATCAGACAAATGTGCAGAAAGAACCTATATATGAGCATTCACTGTCAGTCAGAGACGATGCTAAGTATTGTGCTCGTAATAACAGAAAAACTGACAGTGTCAATTGGAAGCCTGATAAAGAATGGAATAATGATTTTACAGGGCTCTCTAACAATACTGAAGAATCTGCACTCTGTGAACCAGGTCCTTTAGAAGAGAAAACATACATGAATATTGGTCTTCCAAAGAAACAGCATTGTAGAAATGATTCTCAGAAAACCAGTAGTACTGAACAATCCACAGTAAAGTCAAGAAAAAGTAAACACAGACTAAAGAAATCTTTGTCTTATGAACCAAACCTGACTGTTGTTAACAGAAACCTAAAACTTAAAAAACCAGAAAGTCTTTCAAAAACTGGTTCAAGAGATTTGGCAGATGACAATAGTTTATCATGAAAATTATCAAGATTCCAGCAAATAATAGTTTGTCATGAACATGATGGAGTTTTCAGCAGATGACAATAGTAATGAAAAATAATGGGGGTTTCAGCAGATGATATGAGTTTATCATGAAAATTATCAAGGTTCCAGCAAATAATAGTTTGTCAAGAGCTTGATGGAGATTTCAGAAGATGAATATAGTTAATCATGAAAATGACTGAGGTTTCAGCAGGTAACAATAGTTGGTCAAAAAATTATGGAGGTTTCATCAGATGACAAAAGTTTATATCCTGAAAATGAGGCAGGTTTCAGCAGATGAGAATAGTGAATCATGAAATGATGGAGGTTCCAGCAGATGAAAATAGTGAATCATGAAAATGATGGGAGATTCGCATATGGTAATAGTTTATCATGAAAATTATCGAGGTTCCAGCAAATAATAGTTTGCCATAAGCTTGATGGAGGTTTCAGAAGATGACTATAGTTTATCATGAACATGATGGAGTTTTTAGCAGATGACAATAGTTTATCATGAAAATTGTCAAGGTTCCAGCAAATAATAGTTTATCATGAACATGATGGAGTTTTCAGCAAATGACAATAGTAATTAAAAATAATGGGGGTTTCAGCAGATGATATGAGTTTATCATGAAAATTATCAAGGTTCCAGCAAATAATAGTTTGTCAAGAGCTTGATGGAGATTTCAGAAGATGAATATAGTTAATCATGAAAATGATTGAGGTTTCAGCAGGTAACAATAGTTGGTCAAAAAATTATGGAGGTTTCATCAGATGACAATAGTTTATATCCTGAAAATGAGGCAGGTTTCAGCAGATGACAATAGTTTGTATCATGAACATGAGGGAGGCGTCTGTGGATCATGCTAGTTTTTCATGAAAATGATAGTGGTCAGTCATCATAGTTCAGCTAGTATTTCTTAGTTCTCATTGATTAACTGACACTGAATGAAATAAAGTCAACAAGATAAAATACCACAGACTGGAGGTGAAAACAGTGTACATGATTATGTGAAGAAAATTATACTGACCAGTTTTCGTTGGGAAAAAAAACCCAGGAGAAATGTGACTTTGAGAGAAAATTTGTAATATTACATGTATAAAAAAAAAAAAAAAAACAGTTAAAAGAACTCCATGCATTACAAGATCTGTGTTGTTAAATTAACATAATTAAAGATTTAAACTTAGAGGACACAGTATCCATCTCTGTAATCATCCTAGTGTTTTTTTTTTTTTTTTATCGATCACCGGCTGTGAATTCCAGTGGAAGGTCCAGGTTAATCGTCCGCTTGGACTTTTGGCTTTCACCTGGACCTGATTTTTGCGTGTACAACCGTTTTTCATTTCCCTGCCTCATGGGCAGCTGTACTCCGACTTCGAAGGAAGACGTCAGGCCTATTTCTAGGGTGACTGTGGCCATTGTTTTGTGTGGGTCGAGACGTTGCCTGATTTGTGTGGTGTCCACTTTGTCTCCTTCGCCGCAGGTATTGCCCCCGGAGTACCCCTTTGGGGCAGCCTCCTGTGGAACAGTTAGCCCTCAAGGGAAGGCAGGGGCAGATCATGGGCATTCCCCGCCATCCAAGGAGGCTTCCATGCATGCAGAGCCTGCACATGGCGCTCTGGTTCTGGGCTCACCCAAGGAATCGTCACGTCCTGCACATGCCTGCTTAACCTCACAACCGTATCAGGCCTCCCGCTCGACAGGGGCTGTGCCCTCTGGAAGTCAGCGGGGAGCAGCCCGTGGGTTTTGGACTTTTGTGACCACACAGATAGGTACATTCTTTTTTCTTCGCACGTTAGATTTCTTTGACGAGCCGCTAGCCCGATAGAATTTTACATCCTGCATCAGGCATATCGTTATCAGTTTTGTCCCTACACTCGGGCGAGTGGGGTCTTTGGGTGTGGACATTCGGTCTTTTTCAGTTCAATACAAATTTTGATCCGTATGATCTAATTTTGTCGGACATTTAGGCTTAGCCATCCGATGGATGGTTGCTGTTGTGGTGTACCTCAGCGCGGTGACGACGACACTGAGGGTTAACCGAGGATGTACATGAATGGCCAGCCTATGGATGGTTGCTGTTGTGGTGTACCTCAGCGCGGTGACGACGACACTGAGGGTTAACCGAGGATGTACAAGGATGGTCAGCCTATGGATGGTTGCTGTTGTGGTGTACCTCAGCGCGGTGACGACGATACTGAGGGTTAACCGAGGATGTGCAGTGAACAATGTTCTCTTTACTCCGCAGTCTTTTAACCAAGGGTTGTAATTTTGGCTGTATGTTTGGCAAACCTACTCATGTTCCTAATGAGTTTTGATAACATTTCTCACCCAAGCGTTTGGGGGCGGGCTGATGAGGGCCACATCACCTCTGGGGGCCGCCAAACTCCGAGATCCCCTGACAGCTCTGTTAATGCTCATTTAAGACATTACCCGTGGCGCACGACGAGGACGTGCTGTAGGGGTCTTGCGTGAGGTTCTGTACAACCAGGATAGTGAAGGACTGGCGCCCGAGTGACGTACGGAGTATCTCCTTATACACATCATGTTGGACTTAACTTCCCCTCACGCCTGTGACATAAATCACCGCGCCACCCTAGTGTTTGTGACCTACATCATCATTATGTGTCACATAGAGCTCACAGTCTGTTCCTCCAGTCAATTGTATCCTGGGAAATCATTTCAATATCACGGATGGAAACCAGTCCAGAACCATTGGCCTCTCTCATCAGTGTTTGTTTTAGGGTTTCTTTTGGGTGTATATATCGCTGCCTAGCTGTTAGCCACAATTATTTTAAGGGTAAACGCTAAAGAAAAAAAGAATACAGTCAGCTGCAGAGCTGTACACATACAGTCAACACAAGCAGGTTATTCCTCAATGAAAGCCTACCTGTATGTTTTTTTTTTCAAACTGTACTTTATTTCCATATACAAAACATAACGATGTGTTAGTGATACAGACAGTGGTTAGTTATCACTTCAAACAACTAGTAACATTTCACTGCCATCCTCTGAGCAAACCACGTCTCTCTCTCTCTCTCTCTCTCTCTCTCTCTCTATATATATATATATATATATGAAAATGTGTAATATAAGTATACACATATGGAGCTGGATTAAAAAAAAAAAAAAACAGTTTACACTGGATGGATCTTGCTAGCATAGGGTGTTAACTGTACACCTGTAATGTGTCATGAGCTGTGGGAAAAGATCCATAAATTTTGCAACACGGATGAAGCGCATCTGGAGCAACTACCAGATCAGTGGTTCCCAATGAAATAACACCCAGGAGCCCCTTTTATTTGTGTACTGCCATAGATCCCAAACTTCTAAAGTCTTATTAAAAAAAAATAATAATAAAAGAGTAAATCTATATTTAGAATCTGAACCAAAAAAAGAGTTAAGAGTTGTTTTTTGTTCTAAATATTATCAACTGGGAACCCCTGTACTAGATCACTACTCTCTAGCTACTTTTAGTCCACTGTTTATAGTGTCCTGCCTGGATACATTCTAGTCAATCATTTAACTTTTTTAGTACACAGTGACACTCACAGTTCCGGAACTTACCAGTGTTTAAAAAAACTGCATGTACTAAAAACATATCTATTACAATAACGGTTAAAAAAAAAAAGAAATCCTAAAGGCCCAGCACTGCACACAGAAGAAAAAAAAAAAAAGCCGAGGCAGTTTTGAACTTCCTCTTTCGTCATTGCATCTTGAATATGGCATGATGGGAAATGGAACCGACTATTCTCATATCTGCCAGTGTTCTAGGAAGCCCAAAGGCAGTAATGATGAACTTTGAAACAAAGCTGGGATGGTGGGTCTGTAAAGTTATCCCCGGATATATTTTTGTTACACTACATTATTAAATATCTCACAGTTCACAGACCCAGGTTTAAACAATGTGACCTGATAGTTTATGCGACCCAACCAGCGAGGCCCTAAATCCTCAGGTTAAAGACACTCCTCCCCCAAATGGTAAATTCAGGTAGTAAAGAATGTTCACAGGCAATATAAAAATCAATTTTATAAACCTAATTTGTACGCTATGAAGAAGAAATGTGTACCCAAATGCATGAAGTGTGGCCATGTCTGAGACTTATGTTAGCTAATAAGTTAAATAACCCATCTAAATAAATAGTATGAATTTACTTGGGAGTCGCCGTGGCGTAGCGGCTAGATGCTTTGAGTGTAGATCGGAAGGTCGTGGGTTCGCTTCCTGGTGGTACCAGACTTTTTTCAAAAATGACCTTGACTCTCAGGTCGACCCAGCCTTGAGTGGGTACAGGGTGCAGTCCTAGGTAGTAAAGGTGGCCGGCGTGATGCTGACCACATCACCCATCTTGTGCTTATTGGTCTATAAAAATATAGGTCTAGCCTGTGGAAAAGGGACCTTCACTTTTACTTGGGTAATGTTGGTAATTAAAGGGAACAACTAACACAATCAACTGCCTACAGTATAGTTTCATTTCATCCGGTATGATACAGCCCCCTATACAACTACTACAGTATAGTTTCATTTCCTCTGGTATGATACAGCTACCTACACAACTTCTAGCTCAGAAGTCACTTCATGAGAAATGGTCAAATGTTATTTGTGGTACTTTTGTGTGGCAAGGACATTCTATGGTATTTTGATTCAGAACACAAGCTACAACAGCAAAATCCCAACATCTATCTGTAAGCTTAAGATCTTAATTTGTTATTTTGTATTAGTAGAGGCACTGTATAGTGGTCAGTGCAATAATTATCAACACAGTGGGGAAATCATGCTAGTACACTAGTTAGCGCAATTATTTACTAACAAAACTGTCTGAGAAGCCATGCTAGTAGACAGGTTGGTGCAATAACTTGCTCATACAGTTGTTTGCTGCCATGCAAATGTAATGGTTAGTGAAATTCTAGTATACTGGTCAGTGCAATTATTAACCCACACAGCGGTCTTGGAAGTCATTCCAGTATACTGGTCAGTGCAATTATTAACCCACACAGC